TTCTCTTATTCTTAAGATACTTTAACTTGGTACACCTGTTTTGTAAAACCTTTCCAGAACAGTGACAAAAGTCTCCTTGGGTGGTAAGGACATGCAGTTGCATAACTATGCAAGACCACGAAGAGGTAAGTTAGCAAAGGGAAGATTGTTCGTCCGGAAGCAACGATTCGTCGGATTAGCGGAGTAGCCAAGAATTTTCCGTGCCGTCGGATACAAAGGAAGGGATTTGTTCACCCTAGAACAAGCCATCACGCGCAGCCAATGCGTCTGCATGTACGTGATAAAAGCGTGTCTCTTGATTCAGGGTGCAGTGACGCGTTTCGCACCTGTTGGAATGCGACAGAGAATCAAAAGGAGACGGGGTCAGAAAAATAATATACCCAATAAAATAAATGCAACAGGAAAATATATAGAAAAATGATATTTCTGATGTCTATAATGAGTATCTTTAAATTCCAAACACAAAGGTGTGTAGATTACGACCTTAAAATAATTGAACTAGACTTGATCCCCAGTAAAAATTGTAAAAACTATCACTGCTCGAAAACAGTGATGGAAAAATCGTATAAACGTCGAATGGATAAAAAGGATTACGTAAAACCGTTTGCGAAAGTAAGTTTCATTCAAGACCGGTCGGTTAGGTGTCCCCGTATGTACCAGCTTTGACCGAAACGAATCCACCGTCCAATTACCTGCCATAAAGCCACGTGAAAGTCCAAGTGGAAACTTTTTCCTCTCGTGACGAAAAGATTTCGTTTTCGACACCATGAGACACAACGATCGTTTATTCTTTTTTTTTTTATGTCATCCAACCAATGAGAAGATATTGCTCCATTTCGCGTGGGCCGAATTGAATGGTCAAATTGTGTAATGCTATAGTACACCTGTCCATCTTTTTCATTAACCTTTAAGCTTTAAATTGATATAGGACAAGTGCCATTTTAAAATACTTTTATGTCTAATAGGATTTTTTTTAAATTCATAACTTTGTTAATACTAAGAATATTGAAGGATCGTTTATATAGAAATCTCGAGGAAACCTTAAGCTTTAAATTGTGGTATCATGAGTGATATTTGAAGATACTTTTCATTCATGAAATTAAATTAGAATGTTCACATTCAAAATTTAGATATTCGATTTGCAACAATTTCATAGTGTTCTTTTAAAATTTTATCAATATTAAGAGTAGTAAAAGCGCACTTATACCATAATTTAAGGCAAATTTTAAGCTTTAAATTGAGGCACCATAAGTGCCATGTTGAGAAACTTTTCAGTCATGAAATGGCGTCAGATGATTCCCATTTCCAAATCACCCTACTTCTTCCTAAGCCTTGCCCACTAATTTCTATCTTTATGAAATCCCCTCGCTCTGGGTAAAAAAAGAAACCTCAAAGATCCTAATAACAACCATCTATAAAAAGAACACGATGGGTCAAAAAAGCCACCAGTAGAATTTCTCAACTAGAGTGTACCTGGCCCACGCTGCTCGTTTCTTACTTCTCGGTGGGTATATAATGGCCTCTTCCCGCCCCGATCTTCTACCTTCACGCTCGACCGTTCTGGCAACCGATGACAGAGCTGGCTAGTACAGACCCGTACTCGTTCGCCATTAAAGTGAGAGCAAGCAAGACAGGACACCACCGTAATGGAAATTGTACTCGACGAGAACGACCGAAGCCTGTTCGTGTATCAAAGAGAATGAAAAAACGTCTAAAAATTTTTAGAAAACGGAATGCTAGAAGTCCTCTGAAAGCGCGGGAAAAGTATGCTTTCCTTCTTGCTGGAATAATTTAATTAAAATTTTACAAAGGTCAAAGAAAATAATTAAATATACCTATTTCTTTACGATGAACAAATAGAATGAAGAATACAATCATGAATATTGTAATGAGATACGGAAGAGAATAATGATGATACGCAGATAAGAATATTTATTGAAAAATCAATAGCGGAGCAAGGATATCAGTGATACAGTTGCTCCTCATACTTATTCAATGAAGGAAAAACAGTAGGTAAGAGTATCGGGTCATTCTCTTGCTGACACAAGAGGAGTACCTTGTTTCTACTGCATCTGTTTATGAATACATTATTAACTACCATTTTGCAATTATTTCAATTTAAATTTAATATTCAATGCTGTGGAAATATTTTAAGTTGTGGGATTCAAGGACATAAAGTGAATAAAATAAATTTTTAGAGAACGGACCATGAAGAGAGACTAACATTAAACCTTTAAAGTCAAAATCATTCTTCCTCATTTTCTTTCTCCTACGTCATCAAGTAAATAAAAAATCCATTATAGCCATTTTGTTGCATATATCTTAAGCTGTGCAAGGATATTTTTAGATTTCTTTTTACTCGACAAAATAGAGAAATTACAGTTGTCTGAAGACGACTACCTCTGAAAAGAGAGTGTCTGTCTTGAGGCAGCTGTATCTCCGCCATTTTATTGAGTGCAGAAAATCTAAAAATATTCTTACGTAGCTTAAAATATGTAGAATAAAAGGTATATAACGGATATTCCATTTACTTCAGGGTTTAAGAGAAAAAAATATTATTCGTTGATCCTCTTCATCCTATGTATATTTATCTAGTTGGCACGATTCCGAGTATCAGCTTCGCCTCTTTGCTCTGGTATCACCGTCCATCGGGACGAAAGGGAATTAAAAAAGAAAAGAAGAATGTTTTGTCTAGACGGTTCCAAATCGAGAACAGGAAAAGAGTTAGAGGAGCAGCAGTCCTCGTTGGCGTATGTCCGCGTGTTTCAACGTTATATATGAACGTATAACCATCCACTTTCTCTTCCGCGAGTCTCAACCTACACGATTCTCTGCTTCAGCATGAATAGTCTACCCGTGTCGTCGGTATCAGCTGTTCACGATGACATTAATGACCGAAGAGGAGACGATACCTAACGTGACCACCGCCTTGTCCCATGTAAATACGTGTTAAAGAGAAAAGCGAGATTTACAGAAGGAAATAATTATTTGTTATAATAGAAAATTAAGAAATTTTTTGAATGCCTTTTGAAGGTAATTCATTGAAGGTAGTAGATTTTATAATTTTATACCATTTTCCAATGTGGAAATTCTAATACAATTTCATGAAAGAAAAGGTCTTCAAAATGGCACTTGTGATATACCAAATTAAAGCTTAAAACTTCATGAAAATAACTACATAAGTGCTTCGTTGATACTCTTAGTATAAGCAAAGTTATTAAAAAAAATGTAACCATATGAAAATGGACCATATGAAATGCAACAATCTAATAGTTTTTTCTTTTCAAATTTCTAACTTCGCTAATATTAAGAATGATGCTTTAATTATATGTACCACAGGTGAGATTTAGAGATGCTTTTCTGTGATGAAATTACATTAGAATTTTCACATTTCAAAATGAACTATTTACAACAACCTATCCTTTATTTGGCTACCATTGATGTACTAAGTACTAAATTTTCAATTAACCTAATTAAATTCCCAGAAAATAGCAGAGATTTTATAAAACCAAAATAAAGTTCTTTCAACCAAACAAAACTGTAGCAAAACCAGCCACTACTTTTGCATAATGCACCCGAGGGCTGATATCCAACAAAATGCCGTTAAATCTCCGATATTTAACAGAGCGAGCTTAATAAATGCAAGGCGTAAGAATACGTTGAACGATAAATCATCGTTGCCTAGACAGGATTTATACGTGTTCAGCAGGGCAAGAAGAGTGTTCATAAATTTCTAGCAGAAGTCAAAGTTTGCCAATTAGAATAATATGAAAACCGCTCAGCTTCTCGGATTTACATGAATCGTCTGTTCACAGTGGCCGGGTATCAACTCTCGACCGTGACAAATGACCAGAATGGAATAACGCCAACTTTACAGTGAACGATTAAGATTGTCGAGCATACTAGGATCCTGATTAATCGTCGGCATACATTATGCATGGATATCAAGCAAGAAAAAACTTCCACGCGGATCCAGATCAAATCATTTACATAAACAAAACTTGTTTCAACAACGAGAACCATGTTAAAACTATTCGTTAGAACTTTTTATTAAACCCTTGAAAATTTGAAATCGAATTAATTCATACTTAAAATTTTAATACTTAATTAAATATTCCAAGTATTATATTTATTATTTAACTTAGAATCCAGTTAATTATTCTGACCCCCATATGTATTATTTCAAATTTAGAAAAGCGCGGAAATTCAAATTCAAAATAAAGCCTAATGGTTAACACGTTTCAAATACTAACAATATTTTCGATTCGTTCAGCCCCTTTACAACCTAAGAAAGAACGCTTTGGTGGAGGTAAACAGCAGGCTTTGCATTGAGACGAGTAAAGTATGTCATGTTTGTTAAAGAAATATGTACAGTAACCTTTCGCGTGATCCACGAACTTTCATCAAACATTTACAGGTCTCTTCAACGAGAGAAAGTTACGAAAAAAGCCGAAGAAGCCATCGTACTTACGGAAATATATTATGCATTTCTTCGACTACCTAATGAAAAGAGAAAGTAGTGATATATTCTCTATCAAAATATGCAAATACGGAAGAATCAAATTTATGAATATCCATATCATTTTTTATCATTTTTGTATAACATTTACTATATGTATATCGTATTAATTATGATTCTTCTTAAACTGTTATACACATTTGTTTACCTTCGAAGGTAATTTGGGGTCAACGTCCTAACCTCTAAGATGTTCAAGGATAAACTGTATTTCTAATTACTTAATACCGTTTCGATCAAATTAAGTTTTAAATCTTTATAAAAATTCATACTCAAAATATTAAACTCTATTTTCCTAAAGCCCCGTATAGCGTCAGTAACATTTGGGATGTTTTCTTTGAGCCTGGTAAAGGCCCACCGTGGCTCGAAGCTTATCGTGTTCAGCCACCACGCGTCGTTACGTTCGTGGGGCCCGTCGAGCAATAACCACGAAACCGGTTCTAGAGTCGTACAGAATGGCCGGGGTAGCCAGTCAACGTGTATACATACGCAGGCGACTTTCTAAACTTCCGTCGCGCACGTATACGCTTTATTTTTCATTGTTCACCTTCAGCGTGTCACGTTGGAAAGATTGGAAGAGAATTTGCCTCGTTAAACACTACCGTGACATACCGATGTCTCTAATAACGCTACGAAAACACCCGATCGTGGCGCGTCGCGGACCGAACACGCCCGAAGGGAAATAAAACGCGAAGAATACATACATACGTGGAACGTATTTGAGTAACAATAACACGAATGATGGTGATTATTCACGTGCTTGTTTACATTGTCGATAACTTTGGCTCGTAAAAACACAGTTTGAAATAATATTTAGTTGTTTTTGCTTCTTCAGATGAATGAGAGAGGAGATTCTCAAGTGAAAATGCGTTCAGTTTTTGACCGTAGTGGCCACGCTAACGCACGCTAGTGACGCGCCACGGCGTCGTTACTGCACACGTGTATTTACTATTTATGACAAAGGGGACGAGAATAAACCAACCGTTATTTGCCGTTCGTGCCAAACGCCGTGCAGCTCTTACACGCTACTCGCATTCTTAATTGCGCCAGTAGTAAATGCGTATTTTTCACTCACCAGAAACGTAATCTGGATCGGGTACTGGGTTGTATTCGTCCAAAAGCAACAATCCTCTTATAACACAAAAAAATTCCTCTACGGTGGCACGGAACGAACGTTAAAACACAGAAAAGTAACACTAAAAAACACCACCGAATACACTGTCCTGTTGGAATCTGAATCACGGCACAAAACAAAAAAAAGGAATTTCGTTGGACACGTAAAAAATGCTTTGGTAAATTACACGAGAGAGTACACACACAAACCGAAACGAAACGACGCGCGCGCTGGTCGAGTCGCAACTGCCGTCACCGCCGACTCCGTTTCCCGCTGTACCCCACCCCTTCCCTTAGACCCGCTCCGTTGACGCTCGGCCATTCCCGCCACTCTTTCCGAACTATTCTTCGCTCCCTTCTTCGGCCTTCGACGATTCCTCAATACACTGCACGCAATACCGTGTCCGATCAAAGACCCTGGACACTTGTTCGGACAATGTATAAAATCTTATTTAAATCCTCTTGTTAAATTACACCTTACGCGCGCGATTCATGGTACAATTACTCGCCTCCACCTTATAATAAGATAATAAGTTCATCTAAAAGATTTCACGAGTATTTTCTTGAATTTTTTAATTTGCTTTCAAATACTGAGCTTATCATTTCTTCCCAAAGTATGGTGTATCAGAATAATTATTGTTCGTACTTGCGTCTGAATTTTTTGTAAATGTATTCTTTGTGTAAATTATACCGCAATGGACGCCTACGTAGGCGACGCATAGAAGCAGTACGATTGTTCAGCAGACTGCGTGACGCTGCACGCGGAGGGCGTGGCTGTTGCTAATAAAGCGATTTAAAATTGTAATGCTCCATTTTCTTCACCCGTTCGCTCGCAATAAATATTAAAACATAAGAGCGCCAATTCTTTCTCTACTAATCCATAGCTTATACAAAGGTCAGATGTTGAAGAATACAAGACGGTAGCGTAAAATTTTGCTTACCTTCCTGAAGTAGCTTTGTAGGCTGCTTCGAGGTACAGCTTAGCCAGAGACTCGGCCTGCCGCGTAACCTGTTCTCATTTTTATCGTCGGCATCAGGTTTCAGCGCAGGTGAGCTGCGAAGGTGCTGAGCCAAGTCCAGCCCCACGTTTCCTTCTGCCTAGAAACGCATTGACCTTCGAAAAGACAAGCGATGCTAACTATTGAGTCGTTTCATCATTTTTTGATGATTAATAGGATATTATCGAGTGACCTAATAATTGCAAGAACAAGCGTTTTACCCTCTTGAAATTTAAAACCACTCTGGGGGACGACCACCGGCTCGCTCCAGTCTGGTGAAAAGAATTCAATCGACCCAACAGAAGGCTTCAAAATAAGCCTCAAAGATAACTTTGAGAATGAAAGCCTTCTCAAGAGCTAGAAAAACAATTAGAATTGTAATTTTTATTTTTGCTCGGGAAATACTTGTGGATCATAAAAAATATTAATAAATGTGGAGAATGAAATGAATTTAAATTTGAAAAATCAGCTATTTTTTTCATCATCTTTTTTCTGAAGAAATGATGAAGTGATTTGGAAATCTGTTATCAGTCATTTATTCTATACATCTTAAAGTATATCCAAATATTTTGGAATTTTCTGTTCTCAACAAAATGGCATAGTTTCAGCTGCCTCCAGTTGACTACTTCTGAAAAGAGTGCCTAAACATAGCCATCTTGAGACTACTGTAATTTCGCCATTTTGTTCAATAAAAAAAAAATATATATATATATTCTAATATACCTTAAGAAATATACAACAAAATAGCTATATCAGATTTTTCATATACTTCATAATTTTATCATAAAAAATTATGAAAGATAATTTTGATTTTTGGTGAGTACCTCTAATCATCCTTAGCCTTCAATTATTATCACTTAATGGTGATTATAATAATCCTTCATCAAGGAAAGGGTTAATGAGGTCCATTAATCAAGGAACTGGGTTAAATTCTTCAGATTCTGAAAAAGAAAGGATCACAAATAAGTGAACATGATTTTACGGTAATTTCTATAGGATTTTATTAACATTGTTATTTCAATATTATTACAGATACCAATTTGCAATGTACTAACAAAACAAAAAAAGAAAAACATACGTAATTTAAATTTCAGAAAAATAAAACGATAATAATGAGCGTCTGCAATGTTCTACCATTAGAAAATGCAAGGATGATGTTTTTCAATAATGGTAAAACAAAAGCAATTACACAATGCATGTGATTGTTAAAGTACTTTGCAAAATGCATTTACGCGCTCAAGTGAAGTGCGATGGAAGTATAAAATTCTAAAATAACCCTGAAAGGGTTTGTATCCAGCAGTGTATCCTACGCATTCTACACGATTTTTATAAGAAATAACATTACTCGCTTGTTTATACTTTTACGCACTAAATAAACAATAAACTCCGATACTCATCTTTCTTCTCTTTCTTCTCTTTCCAGTGCTATAATCTACGGGTGTATTTTATTTTTTTATTTATCAAACAACTAATCAACTAATTCTTGCGCTAAGTCGCTTTTGTGATACATATAGAACGCTAAATGTGATCGGTTAGTTAATCTCCTCCCTCCCATCTCTTTGACCCACCTTCTCCCGTAAGTACATTAGATACGACCGAACAGAACATTGAGTACATTACTTCTAAATACATCACTTACACGCTATTATGTACAGTTATGAATATCACACCGAGTGATTCACGGTATTCGAAAAAGATCATCAAACACTGACTAGAGATCAAACAGAGAAATTAAAAAAACAATTATGACATAAAAGTATCACTAAATAGTACTAGTGATACGTGAAATTAAAGTTTGAAGTTCAAGAAGACTTACTACATGAAGGTTTTAGCAATATTTTTAATATAGAATAACGGATTGTTAATTATAGTGAACAATAGCCGATTTTGGAGTACGTAAAGTCTGATAAAATTTCTTGACAGAAAAGTATCTCAAACTAGCATTTAGGGAACATCAGATTAAAGCTTAAAATGTCACGAATATAATTATATGAATGCTTTATTAATATTCTTAGCAAGAACAAAGTTAGAAAAAAAATATGACCATGTAAAATGCAACAATTTAAGTGTCATTTTCTTTTCCGTTCGATTTCTCTTATATTAAGAATATCCAAGATGCACTTATACCATAATTTAATGTGTACTTTATACTTTAAATTGAGATATCATAAGTGCTACTTTATGGAACTTTTCTGTCATGAACTGGTGTTTGAATCCCATCTCTAGCCAGTGACCGTAATCAGGCGCGATTTGAATCATGAAAGACAAAAGTATTGTTCAAAACCGGTCGATAGAGTAGGGTAGTAAAAAAATAGGAAAAAGACATGAGCGAGAGAAAGAGAGAAAGAGAGAAACCGCGATGGGGGAACGAGAAAGAAAGTAGAAGAAAGAGGGAACCACGATTCACTATATATGCTGTACAAAAGTTACCTTTTTTTTTCTTTTATCCAATTTTACCAACGACTAATTTTAAATCGTCTGTAAAATTGAATACTTTGTCAAACAACGGTATAAATTTTTGTTCTTCTTTTTTTCTTGTTCACAAATTACGAAATAGATTATTAGAGTAACAGGCGGCTACGTGAAAGCCAATGGAAATTATTTCGGTACCGTAGAGTATTCTAAGGGAATAATATCCTAAGAAAGTGAATACTGATATCCTTACACGTGCAAATTGTTAAGCAAAGCTTCAAATATTAACACATTTTGCGCCAATCAATACTTTTTCAGTCTTCAATGTAAAATGAAGCTCCAATTCCCTTGCTGACTCGTTGAGAATCCATTATTCTGTTATCAAAGAAATTTGGCCATTAATGGATACCAGACGCCAAATGTGTTAATACAAAAATAATACAAATAGATATTCACTTTTCCCTTAGTTCATTCATTCAAACACAGGGGTACATATGCTGATGAAAAAAAAAATCTTCTACATACACAATTCTGATCCATTGGCTCCATTCACCTCACATTGTCGCATACATTAATTACATGTACTAATTAAAAGGAAAGAAATGTGTTTAAGTTTAATTGTACTGTATTTACATTTATCGAGATATAAAAATACTAACAAGAAACATACCTATAGACAAGGTCCTCCGAACGACTCGCCTCCTTAGAAATAAACTAATTCATAATCAAGTTTGGCAGTAATATTGTCCCTATCTAGTTGCATTTCTTATTGTTGTTAACAAGACCATCATTGTCCATTTGTAAATTTCATAGAGGTCTCTCAATCACACTTTAAGAAGAATTCTTTGCTACCTTGGAAGATTTCCCATTGTTCGCTGCACAGGCCTTCAATATAAAAAAAGAAAAACAAATAAACATTCTCTTTACCAGTGCAACACCGGCTCTGACAACGCTTTGCTTATAAAAACATCGCTGAACCTAATTTAGAAAACACACACAATGCATACGTCTCTCATTCCTGCTCCCTTTCATGGAAAATCAATCTAAGTGCATAAAGTAAACGACAGTTGGTGATTTTATAAAACTGGTTTTTTTTTGTTCTTTTTAATTGAGAAGCATAGGTTCAGCGAGGAACTTTCTTGTCCCACACTAGCTACAGTTAATGGTAGCATCGATGGTGACAGAATGATCATAAAAAATAATAATAATACTCGACAGTATTTGTCGTAACAATATCTCGCAGTTTAAACTACGGTAATGGGATTTTTGCAACATGTGCATGTGTAATAAGAATATTTATGCACAGATATACATATTATCTTGTATCTCTAGAAATTCGGGGTCTTTCCGACCTCTGGCATTACTGGATGGATGAGTTTACATGAAAAAATAAATCAAAAATGTAAATGTCCATTTTTTTTTATAAGAGATTTCATTTTTAAATAAATCATCGTTAATGATTCGTCAAAGTTTGTTTTTAAAAAAAAAACGCCATGGCGCTTTTGGTGAACCACGCAGAGGCGCTGTATTTTAAATTTATTGAAAAATCAAGTCTCTTACGAAAAAGAAGTCTCTCTTCACTGGTTACTTATTTTTCCATGTAAATGCACCCTATGTATGCCAACTGATCGGAAACATCCTGTATAATCATCTTCGTCGTATGTTTGTGTGCACAGTCTCTCACTAGCACGATCATGCTTATAAATCTAACAGTTTCTTCTCTCAAAGCAGTTACGTGGAAGAGATATTGGAACGGCAACTCGTGTTGATTAGCAACACTGAGTCTACAGTTGATTTCTCCATTTCATTCTTCACTTGTTGACGATGTGGCACAGTTCACCCACGCTTCTGCTCCTAGGCGCGTGACGCGCTTTTTGAAATTGTTGCATGTTTGAGAATACATTAGCTGGCGTCGTCTTCTCCGATGACTTCGAAACGTCCGTCTGCACGTCCATATGCGACGGACTCCTTGAACGTACAACATGGTGAGGACTTGAAGTGAATCGTGAAAACAAACCAGTATCGTTGGATAGAATCTTTGAGCTAGCAGCCAATCTACAAGCACACGGAGAACACTTTGGCAGATTTATCATTATTTTATCTGGCTCGATTGTCAGAGATGACCGTCCGAATTTTCTCAAAGGACTGCAGATCAATTTCTTAGCTTTCAATTTCTTCTCCATTGAATCGGTCTTTGTTTGATCCTTAAATTTGTTACCCTTACTACCCCATAGAAACTTCTTAGTAGACTCTGCAGTAGACTCTGTCTCTTCTTTTCCAAGTGTCTCTTTATTGCAGCAATGTTTTTTATTCTTGCATTCTGATTCCAACGCTGATTCTATACTACTGTACTTAAACTGATTTATAGGAGACTTCTTTTCCGCTTTGAGCTGTCTATGAACGCTTTTGCAGTCTGAAACATCTTTATTATCACTAGAGGTAATGGAAAATGAGGAGAACGATTTCTCTCCGAGGGTGTACTGACGGCAGTCTTCAACTTGAATATCCACTAAAGTCGTATGAGACACCTGTGTATCAATTTTCTTATGACCTTGACCAAAGGAATTCTTCAAAGTTCTATGAACAATATTCTTCTGAGTCTTACTAAAAGGATTCTTCAAATTCTTAGGCAAAGGTATATGTTTCTTTGCAACCTGACCAATATGATTTAATCGAAAATTGCGACCCTCTAATATTGTTTTACTATGTTTCTTGTCCTGAATACTTATACCAAGTTCCTTTTGCTTCTCGTCCTGTTGAATAGCCTTCTTCGAATTACTATCTAAACTCGACTCGTCATCTTCAGAACATATTTCCTTTAAAGATTCATTGCGGTGAACTTTCTGACTCTGTTCGCGAAAGAAGAATCCATCGTCTATCGACGCGAATGATGATTCTTCGTCACAGGGGAGGACAGGCGCCTTCTCCCCTGTGGGAGGCGACTGCTAGACAAGCTTCTCTGTTTGTGAGCTGGTGGAGATAGAACTGATGGTGTTGGAATTGTTCGAAGTAGTATGCCCTTGACTGCTCACATGAGTGTGCCCTCCCTGCCCTCCCTGAGTCTGGGAGAGGCTCAGTCGCCGTCAGTTTACCAGCTCCACACTCACAAACTGTTTCAATCTCTCCAAGTACTGATTGTACAGCTCCACGTCATTGTGGCCAGCACCCTAAGAACATAATTCATAAAATCTTTCATCCTTCCCCTTACGGAGATGAATAAATGTTACATACCTCCACCCACAATGGCTCTACTGCTCTCGGGCACCTTTCATATATTGCCAAACCATGACTAAAGTTTATTATTTCATCCTCAGTGCCGTGGATCACCAGAACAGGGGATGTTACTTTGGGTACCTTATCTATACTGTAAAACATAAGAGAAAAAGTGGATAATATAAACAGTAATAGATAACAATGATGTTGCTTTGGTTACTTTATTCAAATCAGAGAAAAGGCGGGTAATTCAAACGGTGACAGATATTCAATTATCTTTATTCAATAAAGGCGTAAAACCTATTAGCGCGCAATTTATAGGTTTCCGTGACGCAAGTATTGTAGATAAACTTTTATTGCTTCACATCATTCACTTCGTCAATGGAACAAAGAAAATAATTGTATCGGTATGAAATGCACGTTCGCGTACCACGTGTACACCTCGAGGCAACGATGCTCATGCGCGTACACCAACGTGAATCATGGCATGCGATAAACGGATTATAGATCCATTTAATAAAATAAACGTACCTTGGGAAAGCATCGAAAAACCAGGTTCTCTTGGTATTCGGGAAAGCGACACGCATTCCGGACATTAAAGGCGAGTGCAGAACAACTGCGCCAACCTCGTAGCGCGCGGCCAGATCGACCGTGGGCACAGTCCCGATGCTTTGGCCATAAAGAATAATATTTTCTGGACTAATGCCATAACGCGTTCTCAGAGCATGCCACGCAGCGTCTATATCCGCATAAAGGTTCTTTTCCGAAGGTTTACCGCCAGAAACCCCGTAACCCGAATAATCGTAACTAAATATGTTACAGTTTATCCTCGACCCAAGTCCCAGATAGAAGCTGGACATCTGTCCAAGATCAACTGCATTTCCATGAGAGAATAATATGGTGAAACGTGCGGTGGCCGAGCATCGTACGAACAAACATGCTATTCGGTTTCCTCGTGACGTTCTTGCGTAAAAACCTTCCACCGATTCCTTCTCCCTTTCCGTATATTGCCACTCGGCTCTCTCCGACAGGGATATCGTGAATTTTGAACCCTCATCCTCGATGAAGGTGTACGTAGGCTCGGGCGGTAGAAACGCTAGTTTAGCTGCGATTCTGGACGGGCAGGGTGGACAGCAAAATAAGCAACAGAATTCACTAAAACTTAACCCGTTCATCGTTTCACGGGGGGGAGTTACGCACACGCGAGAACGCTGTTCAGCACATTCCACATTGGGATACGGTTTATAAATAGTTCCATGTACTAGTGATTTTCGCGCCTATTAATTAGAATCACAATGTCATTTGTTATCGTTCTCGTGAAAGAGTCCCTCACAATGATTCAGCCATGACGGCTTACGAGACGGATGATTTCTATCCCTCCTTCTCCCTCTCGCTCGCGCACAATGCTCCCACCCACTGAACGTTGCGCACTTTCATTGTATTCAGGTGAAACGAAAAGGATAGATACTATATTGGTCTTCTTCTATTCAGTGATCGCCATTGGTGAAAGATTTAAAAGCAACGGGACGATTCGGTATGCAATAAATGGAAGAGTATTCAAATAACCCGCGTTACCAACATTATGGATAGATATGTCGTAATATAAGTATGCGGCTTTATGTGCAGAGGTATCTAGAGACTTTTTAGTCATTTTTTTCTAAACTGTGAGAACCGGTGGATGGCAGTTCCGACTCTTTCATTAGTTGATTTAGTAACCAGTTCAAAACGAAAGAACGCGTGCGAAATGTAAAACGCATTTTCGATTATGTTTCATAATAACCGAATTTAATACCAGCTCACGTATAATAAATGTTTATTTAACATATAGGAGGTTTATTAGATAATAAAAACTGAAATATTTGCATGCAGTTTTCATTGCCAAGCCAATTAACGAAGGAACCAATCAGAACGCTACAAGCTATATGGGCTATTGCCTATATATATATGACTAATTTTCCCCCTTTCCCGGCACTATACCGCAGTTCACCAGAGTCCATAACTGCGACGCGCAGGTTGGAAAATGGTGGGGGAACGCAGCGAGCTCTCTGCTAATCGCTTTCCACTTCGTTTGGGAGTATTGCCAATCAGGGCGAAGATGCGCACTGGAGAAGCGCGAAGAACGAAAACTGGTCTTTTCGCAGTTACGGACTCTGGTGAACTGCGGTATAGATTTCTGCTCTTTGCCATGGCTAAAACTTTAGGCTCCGTCCATATATTCTCATGTGAAAAATCGATTAAATCCAGGAAATTCGACTAGATTCACGCTGTTGCGTGATCGTTGCTGTTCGCTATACAGTTTTGGCCGATGGCCGCTGTCAACTGGTGTATTACTGCCTCTTGGATTTCTCGAAATTTTCATTACTAATAATTACTAATAATTTCTACTCACTGATTATCGTTATCGTTTCATTGATTTTTCTATGAGTCTGTGAGAGTAGTATTTACTTGTATGACATCAGGCAAAGAAACAATGGGGTAAGTAAACGTGGTGGTATTCCGCACCGCCTTTTAAGGGTGTGTAATATACGTATAATTTCCACGTACCATACAAGCACTATTAAATGATCTTCATTCTTAAATACCGTCAATTTACACTAAATAGGTCAATTTTATTCCGTTTCGTAATGAACCGTAGTATCTTTTCCTGTCTATTTACTATCCTATCCCCGACATAATACGCGTTTAGGTGGGTGCGTACATAGAGCAGAATGTTTTTCTTTTTTATTCTCTCTATATATAACCGTGAAAGCGGAGTAACTCGGCATCGCGTGAAATCTGTTTATTCTAGTTGTTTATTCATGCATCGCTTCATTATATTTTTAGATTTATATTTTACAAATTATCTATATAATAAATTATTTTACATTCTAGTATAACAATATTTATTATTTTTTTTATCGGAGTAAACAATTCAGAAAATAATGCATTATATTGTATACATCATTGTTTAATGTTACCATGTTTTTATTTTGTTAATTTTAAGGCATGTAATTAATGTGAAATATATAATAAAATCATATATATAAAAAAATAAATTCCAAGATTATTATTAAAACTCCTATAATTTAAATATTTAATACATATAATATATTTAAATACCTAATATATTGCAGTGAACAACCAATCTTCACATGCAAAGCGCATGTGTTTCACATTGACCCAAAGACAAAAAGGTCTTGGGTTCCAGCATCCACTGCAGCAGTGTCCGTTTCCTTCTTTTACGATTCTACAAGAAATCTGTACAGAATAATTTCCGTTGAAGGAACAAAGGTGATTGATGAATACATTATCATAAAAAAAGAAAATTGTATTTTATATCTCTTTTAATTTTAGGCAGTAATAAACAGTACTATTACTCCAAACATGACCTTTACAAAAACATCACAAAAGTTTGGACAATGGTCAGATGTTAGAGCTAATACTGTATATGGTCTTGGCTTCTCATCTGAGGCAGAGTTAGGAAAGGTTTGTGAAACATGTCTTTAATTAATGTACATAATCTCAGAGACAATATGATTCGTTTGGCAGTTTATAGAGAAGTTTCACGAAGTGAAGGAAGCCACCCGTATCGCTAGTGCTAAATTACAGTCGAACAGCTCATCCGTTACTCCGGCCACTAGTGCAAATGTTAGTCCGATTACTTCTCGGTCTGGTATGCCGTCTTCAGAACAGGATCTCATTGATCCTCCGAATTCATCCATGATTAACTCCAATGTATCAGCGTCGAATAATCCAAATCCAAATACCAACATGATCTCTACTCAAAACAGTGTATCTTTGGTAAGCAGTAGTCCCTTACCTGGTAGTTGTCAGAATAAAGTGGATGACGAATTGAAAAATGCAGTCCATTCAAGATCACAGAGTGTTTCTCAGCAGAGTACAGAAAGTCCACAACATCAAGGAAAAGCGACGCAACTTAGTTCTGGACAGAGTGCACAGTCAGCTGAGATGCAGCTGAAATATGAAAATGACAGGCTCAAGCTTGCTCTAGCACAGAGCTCTGCAAATGCCAAAAAGTGGGAGGTATGACTCACTATAATCAATATAAATATAAATATTTATATATTAAATTTTATCGCAGGTTGAATTGACCACGTTAAAAACAAACAATGCCAGATTAACAAGTGCATTACAAGAGTCCACAGCTAATGTCGATGAATGGAAGAGGCAGCTGCAATTGTATAAAGAAGAAAATGCAAGAATTAAAGCTAAATACGCTGATCTTGAAGCTGGAAAAATAGCGGAGGGCAACAGTGAAGCTTTAAGGTTGAGGGCTGAGGCATTGGAAGATGAACTCAGAACACGGAACGAAGAAATCAAAGCTCTTACCATGGCCACAAAAAATAAAGATTTTGTAGTACGTATACATAAAAAAATAATACAATAATGTTTTACTAATTGAAATCATTTTTAGGCCCTACAGAAAGAAAACGCAGAACTCCGTGAAATGTTAAGGGTTGTCCACGAACAGTTAGAACTTGCATTAAGTGCGAACAAAGTACAGAAACAAAATTTGGATACTTTAAACGCCAGATTAGCGGGATACATACAAGATCTGGTGACTGTACATCGAGAAATAACAAACACACTGCAAACTTAAATCTAAGAATATTCATCATGGGAGTTTTGTATTTATAATATAAGTATACAAATGGACGGTATAGATTAATACAAAGGGAAAGGTTCCAAAAAAAACATACATAGTAAAAGTAAAAAAATATTGCATTTTTTTAAGTGTACCAATTAATTCGGTACCTTCAGCGTTATGCTTTTTATGTTCGAATTTCCCACGCTTCAAAAAGAGGATTTCCCGTGAATTCGACAAGAAGCGAGAGAATATGGAAAGGTACCGAATTCATTTTTACACCTAATTATTTAATCTGATGGTTTTCTTCGTGCCATATTTGTATATAAAAATGTGTTCTTTTTTTAATTTCATACATTGTTGCACGTACAATTTTATGAATCTCTTATGTATTATACTATGAATAATTTAAAGTTTATTAGATTACTTTTTATATGAATTGTTACAATTTTTACTGTCACTAAAATTAGATGTATAATTTCCTTTAAACTTCTAACTTAACATACAATCATCACTATTTCACTCATTAACAAACTATCAATTCTTACTCTACTATTCTCATTATTAACTACCTCCACTGCTATTGCCATACTACTTGCTGTTAGTATCATTGTTAGTGCTATTTCTATAACTGTTGCTGCTGCAAAGGATCTTTATGATATTTAGAAACATAAAACATATCAAAACTTGTCACAAAATTAAATGTGATAAATGTTTCTCGATGTTTTGTTTGGAACTTAGCCCCTTGGTATCAATAATAAAAAAAATTCAGTTACCCATGAACACACACAGCTAAGAAAAACAAATTGCACAATTAACATTAGTAACGTTTAGTGATATTCAATTATGTAGTATAACTATTTAATTCAGCTGTACATTGTATCCATATTGTTCTATCACATATTATTTACCTTTATCAAAAAGTATATAAAATTGAAGAGTCTGGCATGAGCTGTACAGAATTCATTTAACATAATGGCTAAACAAAAGATGCTTTTACTGTTATGTTAACTCATTATGAAAAATCATCACATTAGTTGGAAAAGAATAAATGATTCTAGTAGCATTCAAGCCAGATGTTCTTCAATATGTTGTATTTGAATAGTATAGGTTCACTAGGAAAACAAAATTTGCCCCAAGGATGCTGACCTACGTCGAGGTGATATTTCTTGTAACAATAAATAATTTCTAGTAGTAAATGGAGTGCAAATTGCTAAGAGGAGCACTTTTTATTGTACGGACAGTATGTATGTATGTACGTAAACAAATGTTACGAAGATGAATTTTAAATTTGAGGAATTGGAAACAAATGCCTCGCTTGCCACCATGTAATCATAATAAAACATTTTCAGATGGCTTTCTGGTCTTCTGTTATACCCACATATTTATTATGTAAATGGATCGAATAAAATAGAATATTACTTACGCACTTGCAAATGAACATTTTTATATTATTATATTATTTATTTTACTCCGATTACTAAAGTTGCAAAGAACTGTACGAGAATATTTCCCGCCTTTTTCAAGTATGCATGTATAGTCTGCAGACAATATAGGAGAGTCGAGTACAGTATCATACGATATACATACGTTTCCTGCATCAATAACGCATTGCAAAACAGAAACACAACATTGTGTGTGATAATATTTCAGCTTCCAAACATTGGAAAATGAAAAGATTAAATACTGTTTGATGTTCAGCTTCAGTGAATTTTGATTGTTGTATGCATAAAGAGTGAATTATATTAAAAGTATAAAACAGTACAAGTTACTGTCTTTTAAAGTTCAGTTATTGAAGAAACTTGTACTGATTATTATTTATAATTTATTTATAGACATAAATAACTGGTAAGTTTATATTAACCATTGATGGAATTATTTAACCTTATCTAGTCATAAAATTATTTATCCCTGTGGTATGTTTTATCTTTATAGCCATGTTTAATTAACAGCACATCTGTGATATATAGAAATATTGTTATACAGGGTGTCAGTTTTAAATGGACAAACTTTATCAGTATGTTATATAAATAGAAATAAGAAAAAAATTTTATATAAACATAAGTCTTCGTTGGCCTAAATGGGTTCTTTTCTAAATACATGTTTGATACCTTTGAGAGATTGAGTTTGTTGCTCTATGAATCTAATCCTTATTTTGCTTAAATTTATTGAACACCATCATGAATTCTTTGTACTGAATTAAGTCTAGTATGTTTGTTTCTATTCGTACAACATATTGGCAAAGTTTATTTATTTAAAATTAGGACACCCTTAACAAACTCTGGCATAACCTTGTAGATATCTTTTATCTTAGCTCAGTAACAAATTAATATTGCAGGTGAAAAATGGTAGTACTTAGCAATTTTCTAGCACCCCAAGAAGGGATACGTCATGAGGAACCGAATACTACTGTATACATTAATGATAGAGAAGTAGGGAAAGGAACTTTGTATATTACAGAGAGGTAAAAATCAGTATAAAATAAATATGTTTTCATAGTGTTATATTCATATTTTAATGTGATGTTCACATTGGTAGCTTACTTTCTTGGGTGAATTATGATACACAACAAGGATTTTCACTTGAATATCCTCATATATCTTTACATGCCATATCACGAGAAGTACATCCAAGACAATGTTTATATATTATGGTTGATGCAAAAGTAGATCTTCCAGGTATATTTTGTTTGAGCATAACTGAGAAACTTAAGTCAGTTATAGGAAACTTAGTTTTATTTTCTGTATAATTCCTATTAAACATAATTTTTCTCTAATTTTTCATATAATATTTTGTACAGATGTACCGTTGCCACCAGCTTCCGATAGTGGTTCTGAAAATGAGAATGACGATGATGCTGATACACCTATCACAGAGATGCAGTTTGCACCTGATGATGTGAATAATTTAGAGGCTATGTTTCAAGCAATGAATCAATGTCAGGCTCTGCATCCTGATCCTCAAGACAGTTTTTCCGATGGTAAATGAACTTACGGAATACATGGCTGAATAAACCAATGAAAATAATACGATTTTGACCGAATGTTTCAATGTTTTCATAGCCGAAGAAGATATTTATGAAGATGCAGAGGAAGATGACTTTGAAAATTACGAAGCAGATGCTGGTGATGCTCCCTACATTTTACCAACAGGTAAGAAAGTCCACAGATAAATTTGATAAAAAGATTTTATTAAAAACGCTATATATTCAGAACAAATAGGGACCAATCACAATGGTACAGAGATGGATGAAGCTATTGACATGGAAGCAGGACAGTTTGAAGATGCAGAAGAAGATCCATAAGTAATTGGCAATAAATGCAGATATGCATTTAGTATTAATTTCGAATAATTATCATATATTATGGTAGATATGTGATATGACAGACTGTATAACAGAGCTGTATCAAACATAAAAACACCTAACATTTATTTATATTCATTTTGTACACAGTAATAATTTCATAGATAAAAAATAAACAATTGTATATCAAATTCAACTCCTTATTTGTATGCATTGTTCTTTTTAAACTGCTAATTTTTCTTACAATGACAAATAAAAAATGCAACATAATATGATGAAGTTTTCTTGAATTTCTTGAATTTTCTTTTCTAATTAAGTCGTGTTAACTTTAACTATTCAAATAATCAAAATTTGGCGCCATTTATCAGTAGCATTTAAAGTGCGGATAATTAGAATTTAAAATAATAATTTGTACATCTAATAATTAACAGAGCTTTACATGGCAGTTTGACCAAGTCCATTTTTTTTTAAATTTGAAGTTTGGTAAATATTTATTTTTACGTAAAAATTACGTCATCTAGTGTAGTATCAAATATTTCACACATATTGACAGATATGTATTTTAAATTAAAAATGAATTTTACAAGAAAATTAATAAATCTACCGAATTTTTTTAGGGCCAAAGATGAGATCAGCATCAGGGGCACCTTTAGGGTGATTATATTTTTGCCTTCTTTCTCTATTCAAATTTACTGTCACTGGCCTCGTACTCTGATTAATTGTTTCTTGATAATCCTCCTCTTCCTGTCTCTCCGTAATATTTAACGTCAATCTTTTCACTCTTTCTTTCTCTTCTTTCTGTTCCTGTTCACGGTTCCTCAAATTCATTGCTAACTCAGAGGACACGGGAACTGCTAAGTTCTTATATTGCTGTTTATTGCCTTTTCTCAACATGAGCACAAAATCAACTGTGTTTGTATCGGCTGGTCTTTCCTGCAATTGCTCATAGGTCTTCTTAGTGCTTTTTACGTGCAAAGGTACAGATATGTCTACTTGCTGAGGTTTCACAGAGTCTCTCATTCTATCTTGAATATTATCCGAGACCATTTTATCAAGAGCGGATAAGAAATCATCATCCTCGGGGCAACTCACTCTTCTGGGACCCGCTGGCAATGCTGCATTCAATTCAGTAACATCCATAATTACTCCATCTGTTCCACCTTCAGAAAGACTCTGATCTCCCTGGGTATTTTCTTGGGTACCAATGGTGTCGTCTCTCTCTGCGTCAGCTGTCCATTCCTCCTCTGACTGTGCCTCAGAACAATCTTCAGACTCCTCAAAGTGTAAATCTGCCACTCCTTTTGCATCTCCACTACCATTTCCAGAGGTTACAGCCACTTCTTCATCGCCTTCGGCGATCACACCCATGTCAGATTCCCCATCTACATTATCCTCAGTGGGATTTCCAAGAGTGGGATATAATGTGTTTCTTAATTCTTCTACAGCACATTGAGCTTCTTTATAGCTTTGGAATAATTGCATTTTGGGCCTTAGCATTGTCAGTGTGTCTCTATACATGTAATCTATTCCTACTGGGAATGGATTTTCTGGAGTCCATATGGGATCTGTATATTTAAACCAGTAATAATTTTGAAAGAATATTAAAAAGTAGTCTAATTTTTTCTTGCTGGAACCTCCACTGAAATACTGTCCACAGGTTTCCAATAAGGTACAGACTAGTCTAATGCGAAAGAGGTGGTCAGGTGGATCGAGGACGCTGGGTATAGAATGATCCATACTGACTCCAAAGGTAATAAGTAGATACAATGTTCTGAAAATATCTCCACTTTCTACCATACGGTAGTTGTATAACTCACCGAGGTATTTAACCATGGCAATGCGTCTTTGATTGTATTTTGGTAGATTGATCTCCATGCATAGTCTTATGTCCTCAAGCACACCATCAACCACATGAGGACCTATGGTTTCGTAATGGGCGACAAGACCTGCCAACAGACTCCCCACACAGCGAATGTTCAAGTATTTGACATTGTATGCGGCAGTGAGACATTTGATAGCATAAGAGGATACACTTTCATCTTCCCAGTCTAATTTGCGCATCCATTTGAGAACCTTATCAGTATTCGTCTTTGAAAGATCCTGGTATAGTAATTTCCTAATAAATTCATGGATTGGGGGTCTGTCTTTCCTTGAAACGCCGCCAGTAGACTCTGGGGGATTTACAAAGTAATACGCATTTTCAATTATTGTTACATAACGGGAGTCCAATGCAGTGACTGCCTTTTTACGCATCATCTGTTCTAAATAAACTTTGGTTCTCTGATGGGAATCTGGGGAACAAAATAAGTACCTTCCACAGGTTTCTAATAGATTACAAGCCATTTCTATGTGATGATGCGTAAAATCATGTAGGAGTACCTTCAAACAATACAATGCTTCTATCTTTGAGTACAGTTTAAATTTAACAAGTTCACCAATGTATCTGACAACCTTTACTTTTGATTCAATATTGATCTGGTCCTTTTTACGTACATGATATTTGAAGTCATGCTTCAACATCAAACACAAATCATTTCCTACATCAGGCATTACAGGGTAAAGAATGGCGGCCAAGCGAGAGTAAAAGGGGAGTAGATCTAAACGGATTCTGGACACACCAAACAGTGCTTTTACTAATTTCTTTTTATGATGCTTGGTATTGAGATTCATTAGAAAGTGCACTGCTGCATTGTCAATCATTTCACGGTTTACACAATTTGGTAAATGAGTTAGGAATGCATCTAAGAGTATTTTATTGCTTTTAGAGACCTGAGGTTCTTCCACTTCTGCTTCAGGTTCATCTACCTTCTCACTCTCTTCCAATTCGTCGAATGTTATTTCCTCGTCCAAAGCTTCTTCACTAATTGGTGCATCCTGTTTGGGTACTTCCTTTAAATATGATCCTGGTAGGAATACTGTTAAGTCTGGTAGAACTTCATAAAATCTTCTGGTCTCTTCATCTCCCCACATATCCTCAAGAATGCTATTCTCCTCTCCTTCACTGATCATCTTCATGCTTTCCTCTGCCTCTGCTTTCATTTCACTGTCCACAGGAAGCTCTAGCATGGGTTCATCCAGAGTTTCAGAGAAACTTTGAACATTATTTAACAAACGTTCATAAGATACTTGAAGACTTTCAAGTTTTTCTTTCCTTTCGGAGCTCAATTCACCCCTGGTTTGCAGAATCTTTCTATTCTGTTTCTCGAAAGCCTGCAGATCCTTGTGTTCTTTCAATAAATGTTTACACAGAGAATTATAATAATCTCGCAGCAACAATCTCACATTCTGTTGCTTATCAGGTGAAAGTAATTTGCTCTTAGGTATCGGAATATTTAATTTCTCAGAAATTTCTCTCACTTTTTTGGGTACAAGACCAGCATAGTCTTCTCCACAATGTTTACAGAAACTTAATATAATGCTTGCATTGTTGTGCTCCTCTTTATCCATATTAATTAAAACAGTTAAGGCAGAACCAAGTAACGGTAAACCTTGTTTATGAGTGAAAATTCCTGCATTAACTAACTCAGCATAAAATCTAAGATCTACCCTCAGTTTACTTGGATTTGCAATTTTATCAACAACCTTGAGAGACAAAATTCTCTGCCAATTTTCAAAAAAGTGTGTTGAAAATTCAACATAAGTTTGATGTAGGAAACTGCATACTTTAATGGCAGGTGCAACATCTGTCATTTTTAATTTGGCATCTACTAAAGCAGTGGCTACTTCACTTACATATTTTGTTAAATTTAAATGGGTCATATCTTTCAAAACTACATCTAATTGTATACTACTGAAATTTTTTAGCTTTTTGACAAAAGTGGTGTTCCTTTTTAGAGTTGAATCTAATTTGCTGAAATAGGTATCTGGTGGTCTGTTGGGATTTAAATTAGCAGCTCTGATTTCTTCTTTTGCAGCCAGTCTCTGTTCTGTTTCTTTGACATAGTCCAAGAGAAATTGTTTGTCTTCTTCGGACACAACATCTTGTTCAGCAGGTGCTTCTGAAGTTTCTGGAGGAGCTTCTTCGACCTCCGACATTGTTTAAATCTAATAAATAAAATATTATTTTTCTGCACAATTGGTTTACAGAAACTATTTATGGATAAGTTATACCATATTATTAATACAAAGAAGTTTAACAAAATTGAAGTAAATGGTGTCTTATGTTTACACTGTCAGAAATAAAGATACATGAAATATTTTTAATTACTATAAAAAATATAATTGAAAAATATCATAATGTTTTTCTCATTTATTACAGAATATTGCATACACAGGATATATTTACGTTTATAATAAATAACAGAAAATGATAAGAGAAACAAATGAATTAACAATAAATGTTGTTTTAATGGTTCGTACAGGTTTTATGTTATAAAGTTCTTCAAAATGATTACTTACATTTTTTAAATGCAAAAGAGGTTATGTTATGAGAGACGATATGCAATGACTACATATACAAAAGAATGGACATGCCTTTGCTTTCGAGGGGTCACGATTTATATTCCTCTTTTAAAACAGTCCCTCTTTTACCGCACCAAAGACTGACATCTGAAAAGATTCAATTTTCACTCCTTTTGATTCTATTTTTTTTTTTCAAATCAGCGCAAGACTAGAAAATTATGAAAATAATTGTTTGACAAATTTGTATTTTAAAAAGACCGCCATAAATGGAATACATTTAAATTCAATCCTAGCGCCATCTACACAGAAACGGCTGAAACTACTCGACAAGTTGATAAAGAAGGAAATGTTCATTCAGATTTTCATAAACAAAACTCAAATAGCTTTTCTATACATTCATTCCTTCAATAATCTTCAAACTGTAAAGACATGTTAACCTTTTCTACATTTCTATTTTAATATATCATTATAATTTATACTTATATGATAGCTGTACCTGGTAATATCAATTTTGCAGGAACGAAAAGTTCCCGTTTCTAAGAATTTTTCTAAGGACTGACGGTAATTATGTCTGTATGGATTGGTGCGACCTCGCTTGTATGTATGTAAGTATGTATGTAGTACATGCATATACATACTTACATATACCGCAGTTCACTAGAGTCCATAACTGCGAAAAGACCAGTTTTCGTTCTTCGCGCATTTCCAGTACGCATCTTCGCCCTGATTGGCGATACTCCCAAACGAAGTGGAAAGCGATTAGCAGAGAGCTCGCTGCGTTCCCCCACCTTCTTCCAACCTGCGCGTCGCAGTTATGGACTCTGGTGAACTGCGGTATACATACATATGAGTGTAGTATCGTGTGAACTAGCTGCAAGTCTGTAATCGCAGGAGTTGAATGAAATGTAATATGGCGACAATGCCATAAGAGTATGGCTACAGCATGTCTGCGTTATATTATATCAGTGCTCATAAATTAGGAGCCAAAATTCAAAAGATGGCGTTTGTCGCGCCGCGAGCAGAGCGCTCAGCGCTCCACGGGCACCTCACTCATGTCCCAAAATCCCTACAACCTGGAACGGCGCACGCAACACATGTATTAATTTTTCTTATTTCAATAGTTGGCTGCAATGATTTATAGGTAACGGTTTGACTGTTTAAACTGTAGTTGCATTATAAACAGTTATATGAAAATTATACACTAGTTTATGAGATAAAATAATGTAATGTGATTTTATTGTTTTATATTATAATAGAGGTATTAAAGAGGTGACTATTCTGTCACTTCATAAGATGTATGTGATAATTGTATTTGAATTATACTGCTTATTTTTGTTTACATCTTTATCCTTCACATTGCACTTTTGTTCTGTATTTATATTTTGTTTTTATAGACATAAATATATAATTCAGAGAACTGATGAAGGAAGAAAAAAAGAAAGAACGTTATACCTCCTATATAAGTTTTAGTCATTTGACTTTATAATAGTGTATATACACACGAAATGAACAATTGTAGCCTTGGGAAACTTATTTTATAATTGCTTGCTGACAAGGGATGTGTGATCACAGTGAGTAAATTTAATATTTCTTCTATTATTTAAAGTTTATTTAATATAGTATCTGTTTATTTAGCACATATAAATTCTTACAGAAAATAGACTTTAAAAAGAATATTACACTGTGCATAAAAATTTAATAATGCATTCTGATAAAAAGAAGGAGGCTTCTGTTGTTGGATCACAAAATTTCTGTTTGAAATGGTCACAAGACTCTATTGTCTGTGATACACAAGATGTTGTAACACCTAACGAAAAAGATGTGATAGTAATAAGTGACTCTAGTTCTAGATCTACTTCTTCTAGTCCTATATGTTTCTCTAGTTCAAAATCTACATTAAGAAAACAATCCAATGGAAGTACTGAAGTAAACATCTTGGAGTCTTCTGATTCTGACTTTTTAGAAGAAAAGAATAAAAAGATTTTTCAAGCATGGAGGACAAATAAAAAACCCAATTTTATTACTTGCAATCAACAGAGAAAAGATGTTAAAAAAGATACTGCATTTTATACTTCTGATGAATCTGCTTCTAACAGTCCCAATCACTATAAAAATTATATTGAAAATTCTGATAAAATTAGTTCTATAGAATCTATTTCAAAAGATAGTAAAAATGTATTTAAATCAAATGTTGAACTTCATGGGAATGTAATAAATGAAGTAAATCCATCATCTAATTATGCTGGTAGTACTAGTATACGAAGTAAACCAAAAATTTTGGAATATAATGATACACCAACTAAAGGTTTATCATCTAAAAATAAGACTGACAATGATTTTATGAAAAATTTCTCACGAAAAGACTACCAACGTATTATTAAGAACATAAAATTTGCACAAGTGGTGTACGAATCACCAAGAAATGTTAAAAAACACGATGTAATATTAAATGAAGGTCTAGATGGTTTTCTGCATCCTGCTATTTCTCCTAAAAATAATGAAGAAATAAGCAATAAAATTATTGACGAAACTCCAGTAGATTCTGAGAGTGACATTATTCATAGCTCTCAAACAAACTTAGCAAATATTTATAAAACTCCGTTAAATCGAATTTTGGATAAACAAGATATGAATAACGACGAAGGGATGATGTGTACTGAATTATCAGAACGGAAAAAGAGACAAATTTCACAATGGCTTATGACAACTTCACCTAATTCACAAAATGATACTTCGCTTAGTCTTGTACTTCCAAGTAACAAAGATGATTTAAGTTCTGGACATAGTAGTTTAGAAAGATTAGAGATGAATTATGAAACTCCAAATAATAGAGGGAAAATAAAACATAATCCTATAAGTGCAAATAGAGTAATAAGTTCAGATTATAGTAAAAAAACTAACTCCACGACATTAAAACAACCTACATTAAAAAAATTCATACAATCCAAAAATGATACTTCAAAACTTTGTACATCAAGAAACAATTGTAATAATAATGTAACACCTTCAACGCTAATTCCTACAGTAAATAAACCACAGAATCTAGATATTACAGATTGTGTAGACATATTAGATAAGTTGTATGGTAAAACTTGGCGTGCAAAAGCTGATGTATTGTTTCCAAATTCTGAACCACGAAAGCCAGTGGTACCTACAAAGAATAGAGCTGTCCAGACTGAAAGGTGAACTACAAACATTACTTATTATTTTATACTTGTTAATTACAGTGTCATTATTAAAATTTGTATATTGCAGAAAACCAAAAAGCAAAAGAAGGTGCAACTTAACAGATTCAGAAGATGATTCTGATACATGTGAGTAATTAAATTGTAAATCACATTGTAATTATCTTATACGTTTTAAATAATGATTGTTTGAAATATTATTCAGCTATAAAGGATTTAAGATTACAAAAACGGTTGACAAAAAAGAGTGGACGAAAAAATACTAAACAAATAGATAGTTTTATTAATGACCAGTTATCATCAGGAAGTGAAAGTGAAAGTTTATACTACACTGCATTGACAAATCCGAAACTATCCGTAAATAGTACACAGAAGAAACCAACATGCCTTGATAGTATACAAAAGTGAGAAATACGTGTTTGCAATGTTTACATGCTAAAAGCCTTTTAATAATTTTTGTAATTTATATTTTAGAGTTATTGGAATATGTGATCCAGATACTGAAACGGAAAATAATACAAGTGACCATCATCAAATACATGATATAAGAAGAAGAAAATTGTCGTTTAGTAATGATGAAATTGAAGATTCGAGTACTAGCGAATTCGATCCCGGCGATGATGTACCACCAAAATCTATAACTAAAAAAGGTAATATATATATGTGCTTAAAGCATTCAGATATATATTTTTTTTAACATAAAATCAATCTTTTGTAGGTCCTGCTAAAACTCCGCGGGAAATACCTAAAACAACTATTAAAAGTAAACAAGCTTTTGATAATCAGAAGTATGAAAAACATCACAGTTTTCTAGCATCTTTATCTGAAAGTGTTCCTATTACTAGTGCACATCCAGATGCTAAAAAATATAGATTAAATTTTAAAAATACTAAGGAAGAACTGTGTAACTATTTATTTAAATTGTATAATGAAAAAGTATTTGATAAGAAACTACCAAACGACATGACAATAGAATGGAATGTACGTATGAGAGGAACTGCTGGGTTTTGTTATAATAAAAAATCTATAAAAACACTTGGAGGTGTTGTGAAATCTTCGAGAATAGTCCTAGCAATAAAGGTTTGCTCCATATAATTTTTGCAAAGTAAAATTTAAAGTGCACATTAAATATATTATTTTATGTATAGATTCTGGATACTCCAGACAGGCTCAGAGACACTTTAATTCATGAAATGTGCCATGCAGCTGCTTGGTTAATAAATGATGTTTCTGATGGACATGGACCATTCTGGACAGGATGGTATATTATAATAATATTATTTAATATTTTCATATTTGCTAAAGCTTATTATGACTGGTAATATTTTAGGGCTAATAAAGCTATGAACACATTTCCTGAATTACCACCAATCAGGAGATGTCACGATTATAAAATTAAAACAAAATTTACATATAAATGTATGGACTGTGGATACAGGTAAACTGATTTGTAAAATTTTGACATACACGTAATTTAATCATTTATATGTATATCACAAGGGACTTGTTTAGCTCATCGACACTCATTTTAGTATTGGCAGACATTCTAAATCTTTGGATATTGAAAAGAAACGGTGTGGTCATTGTTATGGAAAATTTGAGTTACTAATAAATAAAACAACAAAATCTGGGACTGTGCAAGTACAGACACCTCAAAGAGGGCCTTCAGCATTTGCACTTTATGTGAAAGAAAATTACAACTCTGTGAAGAAAAAGCATAACATAAGACATCCTGAAATTATGAAAATTTTAGGTCAGCAGTTTTCAGCAATTAAAATTGAAAGTAAAGAGAAAAATTCTGAGAATGATGCAGATAATTCTGTTTGAATAAGCGATAAATATTATACTCAGTACTGTTTAAAGTGCTTTTTATTGTTTACATATAGACGACATATTTTTAATATAATATGACATTAATTCATTATTCTGATTTTAGATAAACGTTTTATGACTTGTAAAACTAATATGATTTTACCATTGCAGGCATTGGAATATGAATTATGCTAGAGTAGGGTTATTTGTAAAGACACATAGCTTTTACATAAGTGAATTGTACAGACGTAATTGTGACTTGTAAAGATTTTTATCAGTTTTGTACAATAAATAATGTGTAAGAATGAAATTATCGTAATTTAATTACATTAATGAATTAAAATTACCGGACAAATATATAAAACTAATTTACCTCGAAACATTCAGTACACTAACTAAATATATGCACCGTTTAAACGCTGAATCGCAATGCAATGCAACATTGTTGTACTGTTTTTATAATTTTCAATAAATTTGTTGCCCTAATTAAGTCCGCTTTCCATGTAAAATATCCTATATCATTCGATGAAAATTGTACTTAAGATTATTTGCATCGACAAAACGCATGCGCGAATTCACGGTGTGGCGGCGGCATCAACAGCGCACTCTAAAAACAGTCGAGCCGAAGATGGCGACATGCAAGTGGCGGTGTCGGTGCAATGTTTGAGAGAAAGGATCATGTTGTTGCTGCAGTGTTCGCAGTGTTTCCGTGATCCGCGTTGAGTTCGGTGCAAATGTAGGAATGTCAGAGGCTAAACGGGTACCTCTGCAGACCTTGGAGTTTCCGGAGTCCTTGGGCTACGCCGCGAAGAAGGAGAAAAAAGGGGAAAAGGGCAAACAGCTCGCGCCCTCCTTCCGCTTCACACTTACCCTGCCAGAGTCGAACGAGAAGGCATGTCCTGAGTTCAACTATGCACAGCTTCTCAAAGCAGCCGAGGTCAGTTCTTCCTTTCACTCGTAAATGCACCAAAGGAAAATCAAAACCTACAATGCCCATCCATACGGTCACGTTTGCCAAGACATTTCGTTACCATCAAACACCGGCTAACAATTTCATTTCACACACGCATTTTGACAAGAAACTGTAAAAAATGCCAATGGAATCGCCCATTTTCACGATGCATAGAATGCAAAGAACTTGTGTCCGTTGTTCGAACGAATTGTCATGTTGCGGTTACCGCATGTCATCCGAACACCTTACAGGGTGTAAACTTTTTGTATATCTTTAGAGTTATTCGATTACAGAGCACGAATATTATATCTAAACTATCAGATAAAGGTGTAATCAATTCGAAGCCATCGAATAGAAACGTCACAACGTATTACCGGTGTATATCCGTGTCAACGTATGCTCGCATGAGACACCGTCTGTTCAGGTTCCCTTTCGAACCTAATTACGAACAAACATTTAACGGTCATTTTTATAGAAATCGTTATTAAGCATACATCAAACAATTGTAGAACTAATAAAATGCGATAGTATGTGCCATCCGGTGTTGCTAATTTATTAGAATGTCGCTCCTGTTACTTCCATGTGTACGGTTACACGTTTTCATTAAACTATATACAACACTACTATTAATATTTTTTTATTGGACCATACGACTAATATCTGTCTTATCTTGATGATCTTACGTAGTTACATATGTAGAACATCTCTGTAGTTTTGTGACCAGTGGACAGAATATGAACTCGTGACTATCGACATACATAAAACATGTTGCACATTGGTTTAGACTCCGCGAATGTTGCGAATTTGTAACGCTGTTCAATTATGTTACTTTCCCTTCTATTTATTACATTAGCATTAATAAATATTCATCTGTATTATTTTTTTTTTACCTAATATGGAATATAAAACATTTTCATTGTTAAAAATCAATGAAAAATTAAGTATTTCATAGTAACAGAAAAACGAACGTGATTCATTCAAAATGGCACTTATTCTTATGTTTCTTTTCTAAGTTTGTAAAAGCGTTTTAAAAGCTACAATGTTGCAGCATTCGTATTTAAGTAAAATAATAACGATTTTACGTTTTAAACAATTTTTAATCTAACGTTCAAACCTTGACACAATGACTTTTTGTAAATGTAATTTAATGCAATTAGAGTCACATATGAAATTGTTAAACAATTCTACGTCCACATGCTTTAATGATATATATATATATTTTTTTTTTTATATATTATATTACGTTCAATGTAATTACTGTAACATTTATTGATTTTTATAACTATAATCATTTTTTATTTCGCGATAAAACATAAATTTATGTTATGTACAAAATAAATGAAATACATTGTAAACGTTAGTGTTAATATTTTGAGGTAATAATCATATTATTATATTTTGTAATGTTATGTGTATGATTAAAATTGTTTTGAGAAATTTATATTAAACATTGTTTATTTATCATGTAAATCATTATTGTTCAAATTTTGTTATCAACTATATTTTTGTTGGGATCAATCACTTATGGTAGCGTCTTCGGTATTAGGAGCACAGGAGATAACGAGAAGTCGCGCGTCTCGGCGGAAAGAGCAAGAATGACATTCTGTTTATAGCATAGGCTCCTGGTACGAACGAACAGCTTATGCCCTCTTTTGAATCAGTTTATCTTCCTTTTTCACACTCTTCTTGCCTTTAAATGTAATTCAAAATATAGAATACTTAATCGGTAGCTAAGCGTTTTTTCTAACTGTTCTTTAAACAATATTTATTAATAAAGAATATTATCTTATATCTTTTTTATGTACATCTAAGATTCATAAATTACAGTATTTAAAAGAAAAAAAAGTACTGATAAATTGCGTGGTTGTGTATAGAGAAACTGTCTGTAATTGTTAATAAACTAACAAATGTATATGTTAAAATAATTTGTTGGGGAACAAGAGGTGAAGCATGCGATTAATCAGTGTGAATGCTACGCTAATTAAAAATATAATAAAGGAGTAATAATTTTGCTTTTACAGAAAAAAAGGAGAAAAGAATCAAAACGTGGAGATGACAATCCGACCAACGGGCTGTCCTTCGATGATGATGACGATGATGAAAAATATCGTGATATGGCGAGACGGTTTGAGGCGAAATATGTACGTAAGAATAAATTGTTTAAATTAAAAGCGAAATACATATCGAAGAAATGAAAATTTATGCATTTGATTGTTGTAGGGAACGTCTACCGTGGGAAGAAAAAAACACAAATATGACGAATACGTGGATTTGGGCGCTGGTTATGATGAAAATGATTCTTTCATCGACAACACCGATGCGGTATATAAGCTGTTTAATTATTATCGAATCCAATATATTTTTATCATAATGTACACATTAATATCATTTCAGTATGATGAAATTGTACCAGAAGAGATGACTACAGCACATGGAGGATTTTATATCAATTGTGGAGCTCTTGAGTTCAGAACAGCAGACCGACATTCACTTGTTCATAACAATAATAATAACAACAATAATCCTAGTAACGATGATGAAAGTAGTGAAAGCAGCGAAGATGATACCGAGGACGTGGACAGCCCAAAAAGATCGGAGAAACGAACTCTTAGTTCATCAGACGATGATGATACCGAAGATATTACCGGTGATCAACCAAGAAAAGTAACTGACGTTATAATGTAATGTTATTTGGCTGATCGCTGTTCTATGTTAAACGTTTTTATTATTTGCAGAAACAAAAAGTGGATGACAATGGAGAAAAGAAATCATCTCATGAGAATATAATTAAAAAGAAAAAGAAACAACAGAATTCGCATGAACAGCAAAATTCTCAACAAGACGGTGATACTTTGAACAGACGGAAAGAGAAAGGAGAAACTACAGATGCAGAAGGTAACATAATTAACTATCAATTCTTAAAGTAATTATTATTGTTATAATAATAGTAATAATGATAATAATAACGATACGAAACGGTTTTTAAAGATTTCTTCAAATTCAGTTTCAGAAGATCAAGAGGAGAAGAAGAAATCTGATAAACCTGATACACAAAAGAGTAAAAATGTACCAGATAAAAAATTTGATATAAAGAAGTTCGAGAAAAAGTCGTCCAACAGCAATGGTCTTGATGGGAAGAAGTTAGAATTGAAAAAATTAGGTGGTAAAGATAGTAACATTGATGATGCAATAGAGAGTGTAGTTAATGCTGCAAGGGTTGAAGATGAATCTAGTAGGGATACAACAGATTCTGGGAAATCTCGATGTATAGGTACAGAATCTGAATGTGATGATGCCGATAAAGACGAAGCACCATTGCCTGATTCCCTTCCAGAAAATATTGTAGACATAGTTAATAAACTAAAGGCACGTGCCGAAAATAGTAAAGAAGGAAAAAGTAAATTTTTTAATACAGCAGTAAATACTTTATTGTTTAGGTAAGTAATTGTTATATAATCTTTTGAAGTTTATGAAAATAAATATTACCATTCTCATTTCAGTTTAGAGAAACGGTTAAGGATGTTGTCTTCTCCAAGCTTGAGGTTAGAAACATACGGACATTTAGCAAGATTTTTACCATGTAGTAAAATGGCACTTCAGAATAGAGCAAAGAAACTGTACGTGCAAGATCTTGATTACAAAATCAGAAATCTTATACACAGGTAACAAATTTGAAACAACTGTTAGAAATATGTTTATTTTGCTCAGTAATGTTTGTTAATAATATAATACTATAGGTTAAAAGAAGTTATTAATGGAATAATGCCGTCTGTGATGTGCAAATACCTTGGTGAATGCCAGAAGGTTGCCGAAGAGAAGTAAGTATTTGAAGAAATATTACCAAGTATTTATTACGGATTTACGCGAAAGTTGTTTTTGATCTTACAGTTAATAAATTAAAGATAATATTTTTGTGAATTTAAAACATAATTGTATGTATAAATTCGAATGGAAACTTACTGTAACCTTTTGTTTTTTAGTCCTCATTTATACTGGGATATATATCGGTACTGTTGGTAAGGTGCCCCTCGTAAGAGGAAACCTTTTCTATTTTCACCTTTCCAGTTATTCTTTGTCTTCCTTGCCTTCCTTGTCTTCTATCTTTTCTAGTTCCCTTACTCTATTCATGCTTATGTATTGCTGCTATCTCAATGTTTCATATGCTTCAAAATTCACGATGTTATACATAAAGAATTAAAGAAAAAAAAACACACATGTTTGTCATAAATTTTATTGAGATAGCACAAAAATGCGGGGCTTTTTATCATCAGTATCAGTGTTTGGTTTCTCACAAGCATCATCTTTTTGTCAATAGAACTTCGCATTACTAGAACTTGATTCAACAAATCATATGTACACTATTCTAAACATTTTTTATTCGATAATCCATAACATCTTTTTATCCAGGAATTTGCCAGAACACGACGTTTTAATTACGATAAATGCCAATTGTTGTTTTTTATCATCATCACATTATAATTCTCTTTCTAATTAACTTATTTTTTGTTAATTTATAATCGATACTATTTTAGGAAAGTAGAAGGACCGCCGGAAAATATCGAAAGTTCAAATGATGAAGATAATTGTGAAGATTCAGATAAGTCAAAAATTCCTAAAAAACGATTTCCCTGGACCGAAGAAGCAAAGTAATTTTTTTATGTTTGATTCTATACGTATCACACGAAAGAATTTTTATACCTTCATATACAATTTTGTATTATTTTTTGATTTCAGAAAACTTGTTTATGAAATCACAAATATAAAGAGGCAATGTTACAATGTTTTAAGACCAAGAAAATCAAGTATGTATACTTTTGTTGGGACATTTTTACTTCGACAAGTTCTACCGTTATGGCCGGAGGGATACATGTCAGTACATACTTTATTGAAGTTTGTTGACGACACTGAGCCATCGTAAGTATCACTATTGGTTCAATACTATTTACTTCTGTCTCTTCGTTTTCATATAATATAAAATCGTTTAGTTTCAGTACAAAAAAGAAATCGAAGAAACTGAAAGAAGTTGGCAATGGCAGTGCTGTTAATTCTTCTGAAAATGCAGTATATAATTCAATTGCACGGTCTGAAACATCAACCGTAACTAATGCCTCGATCCAAGAAAAAGAAAAACTTTTAGGAAATATATCTAAAACGCAGAGTACGGAAAATTCTTCGAATTTTGTAAAACAAGGAACCACAAAATCAAATGATAATATAGAAAAGAAGCAACATAGTTCAAAAAGTAAAGACAAAAACAAAGATATTTACAATTCGGGGCATCAACACGAAAATTCAACAACAGTATCTAACAATTCTGCTGTAGGAAAAATTTCTGTTGTGCCTACCGCTCAACTAATGGCTCAAAAACCAGTTAAAAGTCACATGGAGAAGATTAATTTGATGGATTTAGGTAATAGTTCTCTTTCTATCACCCCAGTTAATGATTTTCATAAATCGTCTACAAAGATGAGCGAAAGTAAGAAGGATGTAGTTTCAATTACCGCTTATTCCGAAACTTCAAATGTTCTTCCAAACACAAATGAAGTGCCTCAAAGTGGACATCATTCTGTACACAGACAGGAAGCTTCATACTCATGTACACAATCACAACATTCAAACTACTCCACATCAAATCAAACGTCTACTCATTCAAAATCTGTATCTTTAAAACATAGATTACTACACGAAAATTCTGAAGCTAGAAACGATAAAAGAGTAGAGGACAAAGATATCGAATTGGTTAATAAGACTGAGAAAAAGGACAAAAGACGAGAGCGGTGCGTGGAAGTTAAACACAAATCGCATGACGTTAAAAAAAGGAAAAAGGACCAAAAAATATCGGACAAACAATTAGGTCATGTTAATTCAGATATAGTGCCTATGCAACGACAGCCATTGCTTACTAAAGAGGAACAGGAACAAAGGCAGAACGAGGAAACAATTGCTGCTACAACTTACTTGAGTCAAATCATTAATGATGATGTACTTCCGAGGGAAAAACGGAAAGATATTATCTCAGATGAACCGATAAGTAATGTGGTACAACCAACGGATCAGGAAAAAGACGTTCAAATGGTGATGAGGTCGTTAAAAGAATTACAAGAGCTACAGGAAATGAAGTATTCACCAAATCATTCACCAGTTAGCACCACCATACAAAAATCCAACAAGTCGAATACACATTGTGCTACTTATCAGGATGACTACTCACGCATATATCTTAAGAAAGATGATAAACTAAAATCTAAAGAAGAATCACAATGGTAATATTCTGGAATAGCGTGCACTAGAAATGTATACTGTGTTGAATAGAATGGAGAACGCCAGTGAACAGATAATAATTTCATAGAGGACTATAGGCGGATTTTTCAGTAAATCTACATTATTTTTTATGAAAAACGCGTTAGCGTGAAATTGATCAAAACTTCTTCCATTACAAGTCGCGTTGATATCGTTAACCAAAATCACACGCTACCGATTAATAGCGTGTCGCGATCTTATTGAGTCGCATCAATTTTTAAATATTTTAACAAACCGCCAAATTATGTAAATATATATTAATTCATTCATAATAATTTGAAAATGCGCGTGTACAGAGTAAGTATAAATTATGAAAAAGTATATTAATCGTATAGATATTTGTAAATAAGTTAGCGTCCATTCGTCGCCATGAATGGGGTGGTCTGTGAAACTTCATTTTTTTAATTGTTTAGGTAGTGCTTATTGACGGTTTTTAATACGAGTCTAGTAATAGTTGAAATTTATTGGTATGCCGTGAGTGGTGTATCGATGTAACTTTGTTTTATCCGATAATTCGATTGCGGAGCGCTTTTAATTTTGCCTGAACTGCCAGGATATAGGGAGGGGTGGATTACTAAACATACTTCACATAGTTATCCAATGACCACCCTTAATCATCGAGCAAAAAAGATCGTTTCAAACGGTATTCCATTTTGCGCACGAACAGTAATTATGGTTTTGTAATGTAATACAGAAGAAGATAATTTGCTTTGTATATTTTTCGACGTATATTCAAAATTAAAATCTTTGCCTTCCAAATTATTCATTCGCAATATTTCTATATGCAAATTGTTAGACTTGTTTATCATTCACAAAATAGTACATGATTTAATGGTTTAAAGGAATAAATGTTGTTCGTAGACCAGGTGAAATAACGCGTATCTTCATGCTGTTTATAAATGCAAAAAGAAAATGAAACGTATGTTTAACACATTTAAAAAGTTAATTAAAAAGAAAAAAAAGAACAATGGTTGCCTGATTCTGTCTACAAACTACAAAACTGTATAATTGGTATGCGACTTAATTAAACGATCGATTTTAATAACCGGAGTGTAAGAAAAGCGAATGTGCGTGAAAGTATTGTTTAGAAAGAGCTACAATATTTTTGAAACACAAAGATTAGTGATGTATTATATACTGTATACCTTCTTTTCCCCTCCCTTCATTACCCTTATGATACTTAGAATACGATTAAGCGTCTTGTACAATTCTGCACCGAGAATTTCCAATGAAGACGACTTAAAATATAAGTTTTGAATATTTTTTACAACATCTATATATTTCTTACCTTTACCTATGCCCGTCGACTACGTTGTAGAGGTGCCTCTAATAATATTTGTAAGTTGTAAATAACGTTACGATATATTTGTAGGAATAATTTATTTCAAACCTTTTCTTTGTATTATTTATAAGTTTTAACATATTAAAAAAAAAAAAGAACAATTCTAACGTAATGAGTGTCTTAAATAGAATATAATACTTCAACCAGAAAAAAGAAAATCCATGAAATGACTAAGAGAGTTTTTGTTTTTATAAGTTCTCAATAAAAAAAAAGTATTAATTTTTTGCAATGTTGACTTTGTGGAATCCCAAGTACCTGGTACAATGCAATCGTGTTTCGTTTCATTGATTATTTTATTTCTTAACGCGTAAAATCGAAAGGTCTCGAAGGATTTATTAATTTTTTTTTCAACCTTTTCTTGAATTTTCAAATTTAGTATCATAGATAGTTTCATAGAGTTATTATTTAGTTTAAGTATTATTTTGCTGAGCAATATATAAGTGTTAAACATTAAACTACTTAAAAATTTCGAGGGTTCGTGATTTAAAGAAAGGTTCAAAAGAGGACCGACGAGACGTACATAATTTTCGATAATGAGAAAACGGCAACTTCGGCTATAGTGAAGGATGACTATATACATATAGAATTTAATGAAAGCAACCAGAAAGGAAGGAGATATGGTACACAAAGGAAGATACATTTTAGGAGAATCCAAAGTCGCCGATCAAGGGAGGAATTCTTTTGAATGGTACAACAACGGATATTACAAAAAAGAACACCGTAGAACCGGTTTCAGCAACAGCTACCATAAAGATGAGTCGGGAAATAACTCAAGCTTCTATAGGACAATGATGACGATGGGGCCAGAAGGTCGTCTAGAAACAGTGACAGTTATTACGAGCAAAAATTTCAAAACCCCCTGACAAATGGTACGTAAGACAGTTCTTAAATGAAATAATGTTCCATAGGGAATATGTGACGATAGTAATATAGTAATTAAAATGCAAATTTACACTTAGAAAATGGTCAATTTTAATGTTTAATATTGTAACATGAAGTGTTAGTTATTATTGTAATATAGAGTACACCAAAAGATCCACAACAGCCATGAATAAGGGGTATGAGAAAGCCTCTGCAACTTTATTACATTTATTATAAAAAATGATATCTAATTAATCTAATAAAATGATTTATATTATTACTTACAGGTAGCATTCGGTTGCATATTTATAGCGTTATCGTAAAAAGTAAAATGAATGACGGTTAAATATACGTTAAAAGCATTCGTACATGTTCGTAAAACCCAGTTATATTCAGGATCTAATTGACCGTTTTCATTCATTGCATTAATATTCATTAATTAAATGCGAATAACATCGATTAATTTGAAATGGTTAATTAAAAAAAGAACATTGGTATTGTGTGTATGAAATGTTACGTTAAAAAGGAATTTTGACTACATGGTTAGGTTTTTTGAAATGACTTAACATTTCAGAATAAACGAAAACGCTAAACATTAAAAATTTTCAAAAATTTGAAAATTCCTCTTTTGATTTATCAACAGTCGATTCGAAAAGCCAATTCGTTAGTGTTTAAGCGTTTTAAAGTTGGTGGCGCGGCGATCGCTGGTCGTGACGTAATACGAAATACTCCACAGTCGGAAAGGTCTGGGGGTCTGCTGTGTGACCTTGCAGTGTTTGTAAACAGACACACGTTGCCGTTGCAAAGTGTTGAAGAACAGGACAGAATCACGATTGAACAAAGCGTGTGGCGAAGGATTCGTTCATAGGACATCGAAAAGACGAAAATCCAAACGGGTCATGGAGATGGAGCCTATGTGTATCGCGGAAAATGAAACGGTGAGTCGACAATTTGTGAAAACGATAAGGTGACAACGTGCTCGTGTGACGCAAACTGCCATGAAAAGAAGGCAACAAGATTACGCGCTTTAAACGGATTACACCATGTTGTGCAAAGAGGGCGCGCGTACAAAATGTTACTTTTTCGCAATCCTTATCGTTCTCTCGAATTTATGACAAAGGGCGTTGTTTCGTTTGTTTGACGTCTAGATCCGCAACGATGAGGGTTTAACAAGGGGTGGTGGGGTGGGAGGAGTAGGAGGACAAGCACAACCAAAGGGTGGCTGTTTGCTTATGTGTGCTTCTTCGTAGCTTCGTATAATTCAGCAGACGTTCGATGTCGCTGTTTCGCATTCTTGTCAACTGATCGCGCCACGTATCGTTTGTTTTTGTTCAGTCGACGGTCGAATGATGGCGCTACTGTCTTCAAATTGTCACGTGATCGTCAGGCGCGGAACATCTTGGAGTCCGCTCTGATGAAAGTTAACGTTTAGTGCTTGTGATTATTGTTCGTGACGTGAATTTTACGTCATGTTGTCTCGAATGAAAACGCAGATCATTTTGTCAAGGTTAGTTAGTAGTGTTAATGAATTAAAATCGCTGTTTACAATAATAGTGGTTAGGAATCAAATAGGTCGCGTTCTCGGGGTACGATTACAGATAATAACCTGCTGAAAGTTATGAAATATTGCAGTTCTTTATCTGTGTTGAAACTGGTTAAAGTTCTTTATCAATCTCAGTCATTTGCGATTGTTTAAACGTACTAAAAACGAGTCAAAGTGTCTTTAGTTTTAATACAGACAATAAGAGTAGCTTAAAATCCACGCCACGTGGAGTTTGTAATAATTCTCTGTAACAGATAATGGAAAGCATTCAGAGTTAAATCGTGTGGACTTAAAAGGAACAAATTGCGTGTTACGTTAGTATAAATTGTCGATGTGTTGAAAAGATAAAGCGCGCAATTTTCGCCTTACAAGCAATTCGAAACTCGAATTCGGTGTCGCGAGTTTCCGTAAATCGCCGTTACGCGTCGCAATGGTAGTTCACTATTACCGGTTGCACCGTTCGGGCACCGGTACCGAGCACGACGTCCCTGAACACAACGTTTTAACCCGTCAACTGCGCAGTTGACACAGCTCACACGTCGTGTAGCACCGGTGAGTTTTTTACAGCTACATTTATTTTGCTTTTCCTTCGATTTGTAGTAATCTACAATAGCTTCGTATCTGGTACACATTTGGGTTTATTTACCGAGACCCGGCCCGTGAAATTGCCTCCTGTTTTTCGAACACCTTATATGCATACCATTTCCGAACGATACCCTGTTGATTCTCTCCCGGTTAAATCAAGAATTACGCGTACGTTCGCTTTTACGCCGGTGCACCTCGTAATTCCTGATCCTCGCGCGTCAGAAAAGTATTTGAAATTGCTCGAACCTCGTAAAATTCATATCGATGCAGTTACGTTTGAAATGCCGGTCGATCGCTTTTACTGCTACCGTTACACTTGGTCGCCCACACGCGACGCTACTGCGCAATTCAACGGTACGCATCTAATTGGGAGGGAAAATGGGTGCCCTTAACCCTTCCGAGCCACCATTAGTAACTCTACAAATTTTCAAGCTTAACGTTATGCACACAAAGGCGTATTTCTCACATTTTTTCCAAGATGTACGCTGTAAATATGTAATATCTACACTTACAATTTTTCTACGTGTCGTTTCCCATGATTTCAAAATCCTCGCGAAGTTTCGAACGATGCGATGCAAGTTTCAGCCATGTTCGCGAACTTTTCGAATATCCGGGAATGTTTTTTGATTGGATAATTAGAGTGAGATAAGTTCTATTGGAAAGGTGTAAGTGGCAAAATTCAAGAGGTGTTCGTTGGCCTTTCGTCACACCGCGCAGCTTTCCACTGTAATACCGTTTTACTCGCGACACTTTACGATAATGGTTCCGGAGAGCTTTCTGTTCGATCGAAAGGAACTCGATGTACCTCGTTCCGTTCGGGTAATCGTTCTTTCTTCGATCGTACGACGTTCAAAGTATGCCGTAGACTTCACGCAATTACCTCGTCGAACTGGCGGTATTTTTATTTTACCGTATCTTTCAACATTTACATTTCATTATCAGGGACGTTTGCGTATTCAACTTTTCGTTTTCGTCCAAAGAAACGCGATACGGGGAGGTTGCAGTGTTTACTCGCCTCGCTGATAACTATCGGGTCGCGTTTACGAAATAGGCGAAAATATTCCGTTGCGAGGACAGAAGGTAAGGGCGAATACACCGGAAGCGAAATTCTTGGCAAAGGAAATACGCGGTTCCGTGCTCACCGCGTTTAAACGTAGCAAACAAACAAGCACGGTTTTCATAACCTCGCTCGTTCATGTGTTTCAAACTTAAATTACCCACGTAATTTGTGTAAAATGTTTCTTTTTTTCTTTTTTATAAAGCGGTCGTAATATTTCTTCGGAATTTTTGAGATCGTAGCATGAAAATGAAGGGAGAATACGTAACGACCATTAGGGTTTCTAAACTGTAATCATTTATAGCAGATGACAGTAGCGAACTTGAGGGAAAATGGTATCATCTATCGATAAGGTGTTAACAGGCTGTGCTCTGGTTCCGAAATAAGCAGGAAATGAGGTCGAAACGAATGGAGTTTCAAGGAGGCTGACACGAGAGACATCCTTATACGCGCTTAGCTCGATCGCTACCAGCCGAGTAGCTGCATTCCCAAGGAGTTTCATAGGCAGTCTTTCCGACCACTGTCTCCTATCGAGATCCCGATATGTTTGCGAACCAATCGAAGCGTGGAGAACAGCAGCATCGTCGCGACAGATGTTCCCCGTGTCGTAAATCTTTTACGACAGTTGCTTATCGATACGAGCCCGCGTTCGTTCCATCAGAACCAGCTCTTCTTCCTTTTTTCCTTCCATAAAGTCTGCTTTCTCTCTGAAAAGGATCGTTGCTGTTTCACTAGTTGAAAAATACGCGTGGGTGGTAGCTCTTCTTCAAATTCGAATCTAGGTCCTTCTTTTTCGTGTTTCCTTTTGAAATTGATAACTGTTAGCTTGCCGAAGAATGATAAAGCTAAATCGGAGTATTAACATCCAGTCATGATTTTTCTTTTAAAAAAATTCGATCGAATCCCATCGTGCTCGATCACGCGTGATGTATATTAGGCTGTAAAGTGGAAAGTTCGATCGAGATGGGGTGGCGAATTTGGGGGGGGGGGGGGAATCGGTTCACGCAGCAGGTAGATTTACGAGATTTTCGTGGCGTTGCGATGATTTCACGGTGTAGGTCTCTGCCATTGTATTCACGGGATCTCGCTGGTTCATTGTTACGTAGCGGCGTCGGTGGCACGGTTGGAAAATTACGAGGCTTCCTTCTCCTCTTCCTCTCTCGCCGTTTCTCTTCCGGTCGCGTTAGTCTCGTGGCGAACAATGACGTGGAAAAGCCCAAGGAGTCTTTAAAGCCCGTGTCCTTCTGTTTCCTCGCCTCTCTACTTTTTCCTTCTCGCATCTATGTATTCCATGTGCAATGTTGTTCGCCACTTCGCGGAGATTCGATTGTTTGCCTGAGATACTTTGTTCTTTACTTTGGTTTACGTAGCGTTTCGAAACAAATGTACGGAAAATCCTTGATCGTTTCGCAACGCGATCTTTCTTCGGGTTAATGGACTCAGTTTGATCGAATAAGGGTCAAACCTTACGCGACTGAGAGAACGTACGCGTTTCTACAAAGGAAAAGGAAATGGGAGACCGGATATGGTTGTCACACGGATTGGTTGTCACGATTGTTGTAAAAAAGAAACTAAACAATAGAAATGTACTCATAACCCGTGGCAACGCGTCGACATATTGTCGCCTGTTCCCCCGCGATCGTTCAATTCGCTGTAGATTAGTATCAAGACGGGTCATTGTTTGTTTTGATACACTTGAAGTAAATTTTTACAATATCTTTTTTATTAGATAAGTATATTGGTTTCTTAGTATCGACTATAACGCCTTTAAAATCCGATAGTTCAGAGTTTTATCTTACTTATTCTGATGATCTTTTTGCATTTTTCGAACTTCCTAATAAATGAGTGGATAGTTTAAAAGTTGTCACAGTAGATTTGGGGTTATTTGTCACATATATTCAGACGATTCAGATGATTCTAATTAGCGTTGCTACAACTACTTTCAATTTATTTTTAATGATTTAGAATTCTCAATTTTATTATAAATATTTAAAAATTTAATTTTATATTTAATATTGTTTAGGATTCATGATCAATACAAAGAATTACATTTTTAATTTTTCTTTTTAAATATTTCCAAAAGTTTAATTTTGTGTTCAAGACTGTATAGTTTCTTAGTTTCATTATTAATTTGTGTTCGAATTTCAGAATGAAACTTTAAATATAAGAGATTTTCATAAGGTATGTGATAACATTAATAATAAAATTGTTACTTTTTCAATTGAATTCATTTTTTCTTAATAAATTTGGCTATTTAAATGTGTGACAACCAATCCAAGCTCGGGGTACAATGTCACAAAATAATTACTACAGATAATGTGAATTAACTCACAATCTTATTGATAATATTTATAAAACTAATTTTTTTTAAAACTTAGCCGTACTTAGTTTATATTAAACTATGTCTGAATGAATTTCCCTGCAACTATAACTATTACAAAATAAAAAAATAAAAAAAATGTGACAACCATATCCAGCCTCCCCTTTAATAACAGTCATTATCGAACAATGAAACATTACTCGCATTAATCTCCTTGTTGCGTTACAAGACGGATCATCAGTGAACGACCTCTTATTGTTTGATAGCGATTACCATGACATTCAGATAATCGAAAGGGGAGATTTATCTAGGATAGACAGATAAATGTCTGTATGTACGTATCGATTCGTTCAATTTAACGACAATTTCGTTCGAGAAGATCCCGTCCAAGTGTTGGTTCACAGTCGCGAGAATCAGTTTGTAGGTCAGCGTGGAAAGAGCGGCGGTAGGATCGTGCAACCTTCGACGAACGGAGAGGTAATAGTAAGGTTGTATGCCCTCGGTGGATCCGGTAATTGTGCCGTGCATGCTCTCGGCGCTTTGCACACTCCGACAGAAGAACGTCGTAACGCGTCGTTCCTTGTGATATTATGGGATCGTGACTGCGAATTAATAGTAGCCGCGTGCGGGCAGATATTAATTTTGTTTACAGTTCTCATCACGATCCAGCGAATCATCTTTGGTAGACCCTGAATCAGAATAAGAATAGAACGGAAAAATATTTCTTTTTCGAGGGTTCTGTATATTGCGATAAAGAAAAGGGTTAAGAGAAGTCAGGCAATTGTTGGAGTTTGAATTAAGATCGAAAGTAAGAGGAGAAAGGGCACAGAAAGGTTTCAGGGGTAATAAAGGAAATCAGGGGTTGAAAAAGATGGCTAACGCGTTTAAGAGAGCCTCCGCTAAGATAGTCCGAGAGTAATTCAGTTAATAATGAAAATTAATTGAAGGATCAGTTCTTTCTGTGAAATTCGAGAATAGCCTCGATTGGTTAGAAAGGGATGGAACTGGTGCCTTTGTAATTAAAGGCTCTCTACTGTTAGAAAGGTGATCGTCCAAAAGTTATTCCACGAAGTAGGAGAAATGAGGTAGTCGTTAATGAACAGCATTCTTATTGTCGGTCTCGAATTGATCGTGAAACCGTGTCTTCTCGATCGTGAACATAATAATTTCTTGTTCAACCCTTTTTATAAAATTCTCGAACGCAAAGGGTGGTTTTATTGGCGTCTTACGACGAGTTCGCGTGAAATGAATTGTACAAAACGAGGCAGCCGGACGCGATGTGCAAATACTTCATTAGTATCGAATTGATATTCACCGGATACGTAAAGGAATTTTTATTCAGGGAAATCTCGAATACCTCGATCGATATCGCGTTTGAATTGTTTATATTTCAGCTTTGTTTTTGAACGAATTTCGCGCTAAATGAACGTCGCGAGATAGGTTTCGCCGGTGAAAATTTCCTTTGTCGTCGAACCAGTCATCCGTGATTATTCTTTTTCTATTTTCCATATGAATTTCATTCTTTTTTCTATGAATCGAATAAAAAATGCCAAGTTTCTTGAGCATGAAAGAATAGGCTAGAAAAACATTTAGATAACAAAAGAATACCAGACTGGTTGGTGCAGTAGAAACAGCCGTGTCTGGTAAGGCACGCGACGAAGTGGAAACAGACGCGTGTAATGGCACACTGTAATTCTTGTTATTCAGGATACAACAATTCTAACTGTTATGCATGGGCACTTGCCCGCCTGCTCTGCAAGAAGAAAAATGGTATTTACCTTATCGTAGAGGAAAAAATTTGGATTTTATCCCCCTCTCAAGCAATCTCGAATAAAAATCTAATTTAATTTAATTTTGCTTGGAATGGCTCGTACATAAATACCATGAAATTTGCCTGACTGATAATTTGCTTGACTACGCCCATGCTGTAATGTGTAACAATTTCGGCCATAATCTATTATAAAAATAGGCGTAAGTAGGCGTAAAATCAAAGACGTACGAACGAGATGAGTTATCGCGATAGAGAAAGTCGGTTATTGAAAACCAGAGACGGTATATCGGTTCAACAATTTGAATTGTTTTTTTAACACCGTTCTACCAGGTGGGTTGCCTTTGACAGGTTCGTTCGTTCTGTAGGTGTAAATTGTACCGCGTGTAAGTGTCCGCGACGACTAGGACGGGCGCGTTTACGCGGCTGGATTTAATCACGCTCCACGCGGAAGGTAGAGCCTTGGCACCAAGCGAGCCGCGTAACCCGGCCTTTGCGCTCGAGGAATACGCGTAAGAGAGAATCGCTCGACTAGCTGCTAAACTACAAAGCCATCCGGCTCGATTGTGTACACAATACGGTTTACGAGCTTCCGCTTTCGCCGACCACCGATGTCTATCGAGCATTTCGTTCGATCGCGTCGGATAGAGGAATCCTCTGTTCGGTCGTTCGTTCGATTTTTGTGGGGAAAAAGGTTAGACTTAATCGTTTCGACGATAAAACGCGTGGAATATGTAAAATCGACGCTTTTAGACGTCGGACAGACGAATCCCGGAAATGGGCGAGCTCGGGGATATACGTGTCAGTGGAAAGCGGGTGAAATTGTCAGGCGCAGAGGGCCGATGATGCCAGGTATCATGGCGTTCGCGATAGGGGTAGCCAGGAAATCGACGGAAGTGTCAGTGTCAGTGTCAGCAGGGTACAGATTTGACGGCTATTCTAGCCTTTCGCGGAACCGTGTTCTCGACAAACCTCGCGACCCAAATAACACGGAAAAGGTAGCGAAATAGCTGTTTAATCGTATTTTACCCTCCACCCATAGTTTCTCGTTTTTCCTACTTTATTCATCTGTCGCCGATTGCTCCTTTCAGGCGCATGAAATTAAAATTGGAAAATTATTAATTTCAATTTTCGTTAAAAGTAATTTAACGCGAAAACAGTTTCCAGCAGAATCGCCTGAAAATGAGGCGTAATCAAAAAATCGGTTTGCCCGGGAACGTGTTAATTATATTCCTGGCTTTAAGACGCGACCGCGGGGTCAGCAATAAAAGTGGCTTTTCTCGTACACGCTTGGAATCCTTACGGTCTACTCTCTTTCCTTCTTTTTGCTTCCTGTATCACTCTACTTATCGCAGAACATCAATTCCATTTTCTACCCACAAAGCCCGGCGCGTCGAGAGTAAAGGAAGAAGGGTAGCTAGACACTCGGAAGGGTCGAGAACGAGAGAGAGAGAGAGAGAGAGAGAGGGAAAGCTTGGTAGGGGTTAGAGTTTAGAGACAGGGTAAAGAAGTTGGGGAAACGGTCGAGGAAAAGAAAGAGGATTCGAAGAGATTTAATACCAGATAGGATTGAGAGGAAAAGATAGGAGAGAAAGTAAACAGTTGCCCTAAAAGGGGGCAGAATTTGTATTTTGTCACCCGTGAGTACATGCATAGCTAAGCCTGCGGCTCTGACTTTGCTCGTCGCAACAACTGTACTCCTGGGAGGTGTAAATTTTAACGGGGCGTGCACGGTCGCTGGAGACACTCTTATCCTCTACGTGCGTTGTATTAACTTGTTCTTTCGTTTTATTTACTCTTTCTAGGGATGTTAGATCGTCTCTTCGGGTCAGCCCTGAAGGATGCTCCTCTGTTTCTCTTTTTTTTTCCGTTCCACGAACCCTTTCGTTATCGCGAAATTTGATGGAAAAACGAGTAAACGAGAAGATATGGAAATACGATTTTCGGAAAGAAAGCTTCTGAATTTTTTCCCCACGAAGCGAAGGAATATTATTCGATGCAGCGAGGAAAATTCGTAGACGCGCGTTGCTCGATAAACGGCAACGCGCTTAGGCAACCACTCGCGATAAGGGTTTCACGTGGAGCTTTTAGCGGTCCTAGCCAAAGCTGCTCTCCGTGACTCAATAAGCTTTTGTTTCCATTGAAAACGTTGGACGTTGTTCCCTGCTAGCTTCAACCAACTCGTTTGAGATATTAATCAGAGGCAGGAAGAAACAACGGATCAGGCGGTATTACGTCGCCGTAGGGACTCGCATCATCCGCTTTCACATCTCGATGCTACTCCGCTTCATCGTTGTTACGCTCTGACGTTACGACTCCGTGATTTCAGCAAGAAAAGTCAAATGTTGTACGCAATTTTTCGAGCTTCGTGCTGCTTCTTTTGACAATCGAATACCATTTTTATGAAATATCATAATATTGATAAATTTATTTTATTTTATTTATTTTATTTATAGGAATTTTATGGTACCAGTTATCTTATCAGTTTACACAGCTATGAAAGTTAAGAAGAAGATATTTTCTTGATTTATACTAACATAATTAATTGTTTTGTTGCAGGAGGGATCTCGCGGTGATCGGAAAGAGGGGGGAAAGAGGGGACGCAAGCCCGGAAGGAAGGCGTCCGACAAGACTGACATGAAAGCCAAGCTCGGTAAGAAATTCCTTTATAGTGTTATAGCTAGTTAGGAGGCCGAAAAAAATGATTTTTCAAGTATTTTTTTTGGAAAGACGTTTGCATTTATTTTAATGAATCTTTTTACATTGAATTAAGTTGATCTTCACGTATACACTCATAATTTTCTATTACAAAAATATTGATTTCTCTAGCTGCCAGGGCCGATCTCCGAGAGCACCTCCAAAAGAAGACTGGATCATCTGAAATCAAAAAGCAATGAAAATTTAGTTAATATAAGATAAAATCTTGTCTTTAATCAAAAGAATAAGTAAAATATCACGTTTGAAAAAAATGGCGGCTTCTAAAAAAAAAAATTGTCATTTTCAACTAAAAATTTCGTTTTAAATTGTTTATAAAATGAATAATATTGACCGGATCGAAACAACCTTCGATTAAAGACAAGATTTTACCTTATATTAATTAAATCTTTATTGCTTTTTGATGTCAGATGTTCCAGCAAGATTCGAGGTGCTCTCGGAGATCGGCCCTGGTAGCTCAACGAATCAATATTTTTGTAAAATAAAAAAAAAATCAATTTAATTCAATATAAAAAGATTCATTAAAATAAATGTAAACGTCTTTCCAAAAAAAAATACTTGAAAAATAATAATTTAGCAACTCGGACGATCGATAAAAGTTCAGAGTATCCTAATGCTTACGGACAGCAGTGCACATCCATGTTCACGTGTTTCGTCTACTCGCGAACAATTTCTTCTCGATAGAAATCCCTCCGGTTTTCGGACGTCTTTCTTCGGATCTGGCGGAGCTTTCTTCGGAAAGCGGGCTCACTTTGCGGACAGCTTTTAAAAAAGAACATCGACGAGGAGGAAGCGACGGGAACGTTTATTGGCGCGTAAAAGCTGAGCTTAGTGAGCCGTAGACGCGATAATAGCTCGCGACCCTTGATCGTAAAGGGCTTTATCACGTCGCGGTCCCGTATCGACGAGAAATTTGCAATATCCTGCCAGTAGGCTATTACGATCGATTTTATCCATCCACCCTGTCTTCTTCGCCACCCCGTGACCGGAAATGTTGGCACACCGCAAAGTCAATGGCATCGTTAACTCGCGTTTCGCACGAAACAATAAATATTGCTATAGATTTATTTAAGGGATTACACCTAGTTGGGATCGAGAAAATGACGTAATTTTCAAGATTCTTTTTTGCCGTCCTAATAAATATTTACTATGAAGTGAAATATACCATCAAAAAATACATGTTTTAGTGTTAAGATCTTTTTAAAAGTAAAATGTTAAATAATGAGAGAAATACAGCTCTTCTCGTAGAACGCCCTTTTCTTGCGGTGGCCATGATATCTTCCAAGCCGCTTATTTGAAATCAAAACCAAAGACGATTCAGTTAATATATTGTATTGTTAAGGGCCTGAACGAAGGGTTTTGCGAAATTTTGATTTTCACCAAAATGAAGAATTCGGTTTTTGAAGTGGTCAAATTTTATTTTCTTTGCGATAAAAAAAAATTTTTCAATGGAATTAAAAATCCTTCGTTCAGGTTCTTAACAATACAATATACTAACTCAATCTTCTTTGGTTTCGATTTCAAATAAGCGGTTTGGAAGATATCGTAGCCACCGCAAGCGATCTCGAGAAGATGGCGTTCTACGAACGTTCCTTCATTATTTAACATTTTACTTCTAAAAAAATCTGAAAAATACTTTAAAACATGTATTTCTCGGTAGTAATTTCACTTCATAGTGAATATTTATTAGGACGGTAGAAAAGAATCTTGAAAATTACCCGATCCCAATTAGGCGTAACCCGTTAAGGGTTTGCCTCCCGGCGTCCCTTTGTTGATTTTAACGCGTTTTCTGTATCACCAGAAGAGGAGAGGGTATCGTGAATTTTTACAGCCGTGCGTTATTCCACCCTTCGTATTTCTCGCGGCACAGGTTTGACGTGCCGAATATTTGAATTTCGCGCAAAACTTGCGTAAGAAAAGCAGAATTTCAAAAGTATCGTATGTTAGGATTTCGTTTCGCTTATCTCGCGAGCGGCACACTTTGCCTAGCAAATCTGTATTTTGAATTATTAACGCGACCAACGGGTATGCTGAACGCGTTGTATACTCGATTCCCAGTGAAAAATCCAGCAAAGGTATTCAAATTGCATCGCATCTGGTTGCTTGTCCGACGTCGCACTTGGGAGGGGTTAAGAAGATAGGAAAAATAGCTAACGATTCGAAAAATAATTCTCACGTTTCGCATAGTTTCATTTATTTTTGCAGAACGAAGCCGACAGAGTGCGAGGGAGTGTCGTGCTCGAAAGAAGCTAAGGTATCAATACCTCGAAGAGCTGGTAGCTGATCGCGAAAAGGCTGTGCTTGCTTTGCGGAAGGAACTGGAGATGGTAAGTCTTTCTTGACATATCCATGCTGCATCAATTTTCTGTCCAATTATAATTAAAAAAACGACTGCGTACAACGTAAGCTCTCAGTTAAGAAGAAATATAAAGAAATAATTTTCCACCATTCGTTTCGTTATATAAAGATATGCTACAGTGAATGTAAAAAGTGTTTGGACACCGTTTAAAACAGAATACCTGATTTAAAATTGAAGCAAATGACTTCTTCTTCGTTTCCTCTTAATCGAGAAAAGGCTACGTTACAGACTACATGTATATCCTCTCCTATTCCCCGTTGCCACACCTAGCAACGAAAGCGTATAAATCTTGCTCCTGGAAAAGTTTTCACGAATACTGCCTGAGTTATGCGTCTATTATTCGGTGCAGCTTTTTACGCCAGCAACGTTTTTAAAGTCGTGTGTGGCCTCGATTATGCAACCGTCTTTCAAGAAAGAACTACGGTTTCCATAGAAATCTTGCGCTGCAACGTTTCTATTTCCTGTGCGTTAATATCGTAAATTCAGCAGCTAAGGAGGACGCAAAGTTTTCTCGAATAACCGTAAACATGTCCTACCCTTCGTTCGTAGAAGTTTATGGAATTAATTCTGCTGTCTAAGACAGTGGTCAAAGTATTGGGTACAAATGCGTAACTTCCATGCTCAATTTCTTCTTTATTCACCGTTCTGCGAGCGAATGCGAATGTGCAAAATGTGTGTATGTGTGTGTTTGAAATTATCACCTGAGAAAAGTTGATAACGTTGTTGCAAAAGAAGATTAAAATTAATCGTTATCGATTATGAGTTAAGTCCGATAGAGATCTCTAAGGTATGTGCACACCCTTATTATTAGATGATTGCAAATCAAATGGACGATCAATTGAAACTCAACCCCATCGTTTTGAGTATATCTTTTCTAGGTTTCCATTTTATCAGAAACAAACGAGTTGAATCCTGAATGAACGAAGAGGGTCCTCATTCCCAGCCACGTCTCATCAAAGCATCTTGAACCTTCCCAGATCCTTTTCAAAGCTCCTGAGAATGCTTTTTGGGTATAATAAATAACGTTCGATCGTGTGACACGTGGATGCCGTGTAACCGCTATCCGTTCTTCTTTCAGTATCGCCAGTGGGGACAAGAATTGGACGCCGGACGAGTTCCCGAAGGGCTACAAGCGATGCTGGAGGAGTTTGGCTCCCTGAAACGTGAGAAGGTGGCCAACTGAACAGAGAAACACACGAGTCACGAACATCGAGAGCTTCGCGCATTCTTTACATTTCTCTCTTTTTTTCTTCCCTTCAGCATCGTACGTTTCTTTCCTGACACAATCAAGTGTCAGCTTCGGCGTTCAACCGGTGTTCTTCGAACCGGTGAACAATTCAGCGGACAAATTCGTATTCTTCTTCAACGACTCGTTTCCAGTCCTTTCCTGTGCCTCGCGTTTCCTTTTTTTTTCTACCACTGGACAAATTCCCATTGGGACCATCCATGGAAACAACAGTCCTGTCCCGTCTCGTTTATACGATTCTATTCTGCTTACGGTACAAAGCTAGTCCTTGTTCGTCCTTCTTTCTCCTCTTCTCCCTGTTCCTTTTTTTTCTTTCGCGAGAGAAACTTTCGGTTCGGTATTGTTTCTCTTTCTAGTTACCGTATCGTGGTTTGTTTTCACGCAAAATTGTTCGCGTCCCCTACCCTTTGCCCCTTGTTATTTGTGACCCATTAAGTTAAACTAGTTTTGTTTTTCTATTATCATTGCGAAGCAACGATAAAGCCGATCAAGTTAGTCGCGAGATATACGGCGCAGCGCATTGTTGCACAGGCATTACGAAGTACCTTTCATCGTGATTGTTACAGAGAATATAAATGAAACGAGTAAAATGGTTTATATATTTCTGTTAAGCGATGAACGATCATTGATCGTCGTGTATCATATAGTCGGAGAGATAAAGGGTTACGTAGTATTCCTTGTTCAGTGACTCTTGTCATTCTAATAGGTGTATTCGTTGAACGATTTAGGCCTTGCTAATTATCAACTTTTCTCTTTCTCGTCGAATTTATATCGCCAGGAGCGTTTTTATTTGGTTTCGCTGACGTTACCGCGTGTCTGCGGTGATGTTATTTTTATAAAACGATATAAAAAGATATCATTTTGTACAGATTATTAATATTTCGGAAACTTGTTCTTATATAGATATATATATATATATATATATATATATATATCCAGAGAAAGTCTGGAGAGCGAATAAAATGGATATTTTTAAAGAAATTCCTCCTTGCTTTGTCCTGATCAAATTTTTATCTCGTCCTTTATTTATCGGATCCAGAATCGTGATACAAGTGGAAGAACAGATGATTAATCAGACAATAGTACGGGAGAATTAAAATTTATTTATCTATTTTTCATTTGTATCGCTATGAAAAAGGTGTCAGCTAGACAGTTTCGCATGAAAATGATATTTCGAACGTTACAATTTCGCGTTACATTTCGGGCGTAACCGAAATTTGCATATTTCGCCGTGAAATACGTTCGACAACGAAATCTCTTGTTCGATTTACGTAGATTGCAACGCAATCTCCCATTGATATTATCCACCGCGTCGAAACGATGTCACTCCTGTTGGATAAAAGAATAAAAACAACAAAAAGTGAGAGAAAAAAGCGATCAGTATCGCTGCAACTACCTCGTATATCCGCGAGCGTATGCAAAATGTGGTAGGTATCGAAGTCTTTTTGGCTGAACCAGGCCAGGTCAAACGGTAACAATGTCGGCAATAATAATTGAAAGATACCAGACGACCCGTATACTAAGAATAAAATATCGTTTCAGTGGTAGAACGGAGTGGTGTATGTATTATTCAAACGGCGAATTGAAATAGATAAAATCGCTTTGTTTGATAGTTTAATTTCACGACGTGCCAAAAACTCGTGCGAACAAAATCGATTGCATCCAAATAAAGATCACGTCCGTTTAAGAACTTTAAACCGTGATTTGTAGGATTACGTTTCTCGTATCGTTACACGGAATTATGTAACTTCAGCGGGAAATGCTATGCAAATTGTTTCCTTCGTACAAATGTATTTTTAACAAATACGTAGCCGCGGAGTGATGCACTCTGAAGAGAGAAACGTTCCCTGATGCGTTTCTCGATGCAACCATTAGCTGCATTCGCGACGATCGTAAATGGCAGAAGCGCCTGTGGATGCGTTCTGTGCATCGGATAACGACACACAATTCCTTGCACCGTAAACTGACGCTCGCGCTCGTTCAATTTCCTTGGTGAAACGCGTTCTCGGTAAACGCGAGTTTATACAAAATGTCGCACTTATACGGTAGGGTGTAAAAAAAAAAAGTCAAAATCGTAACAGTGTTTAAATTATGAATAATAAAAAAAAGTATTCTTGAATTTTATTTCGCCGTAACGCGCAGGTGTAACAAATCAGAATTTTCATATCCAATAAAAAGGAAGTAAATTTCTTTTATTTATCCTCGACTTCGGCCCAGTTTCGTTCAAAACTGCTATTTGCGTTGTAAATCTTGGACATTTTTTTTAAACGCCCTATCCATGCAGCTGGTAGAAAAAGAAAATTAATAAAAGCCTGGTAGCAGGGACATGAAATTACGAAGGAAAAGCGTACGGTAATTCGATAATTCCGTGGAATGCTCGAGAGCTCTTTTTTGGTTAGCTTTTGCGCAGACTTAAGTCGTCCGGTTGATGAATTTCAAAATGCGTATCAGCGGACTGAAATATTTCTACGCGTTTCCCAGTGAAACTAAGACGATTTAATAGAGTTCAACGGACGTAATCGTGGTCGTTGGAAGTACAACAGAGAAAGTACCCAATAAACTACTCTTTTATTATCTTGTGCTTTTATTTCCGTTTGTCTACGGTTACCGTGTATCGTTTCACGCGTGTTTTCCCATAAAGTTTACATTCTATTTTCAGGGATTTCGACGCGTGATATTGTGAACAACGGGTGCATTGGATAATCTGTTGGTGTGTATACAAAGAAATATTGCAACGATGAAAACTCACTGCAACGATCAACAGCTTCCGAAACGACGCAAAAGATCGAAGTCCGGTAAGTCGTTTTCAAATCTTTCATGAAAATATGATAATTTTTAATGGAATCTGTTTATGCTTGTAAATTTCTAAAATTCAAAATGCATGAGCTAATAACAATCTAGTTCCTCATAAAAGTACAAGGAGCTACTGTTCTTTGTGGGATCTAGATCAAACGCAATCTTGAGCTAAGTTAAAGCTCTCTAGGGACCTTCGTTCTCAAAGGCCCTTGTTGGTTACATATTTTATACACGGTAGTTCATTTCTTGTATCCTCCCTCGTGATCGACCGGATGATCCGGTCTGTCAACAATAAGTAAATTTTTTAACGACTGCCTTCCAACGTATTGTGCTACGTTGTCATTGAAGGGCAGAAAGCAGTTAATATTAGAAATAACATTGCACACCATGTAATTTTTGGAACCACGTACACGATATTATTAAACATTTGATGTGCTGGCTCTTGCGGTGAACGTCAGCTGGAAACGATTTTCCAATCTACCATAGACAAGTTTAGGAGACTGGCTATCTGGCTTTACGAGTGACCGACTCGTAAAGCCATTCTTACCAGGGTAGAATACGATCAACCTGTCCGATATTTGATTCTCCGTAGTGTGGGTCAAAAGCAACTTCGATGCAGTAAATTTAGCGCGAACCTGACACTAATTTCTCGTTCAATTCATACCGTTCGTTACTCTATTCTCCACTCGGACCCATATCGTCTTACATCTGAAAGGGTAAAATTCAAAGCAGCCACGGAATATGTATTTGATTCTGGCCGTTCGATGCACGTGTCTGACTAGTTTTATTTTATTCCATTTCCACTAGTCGCGATAGAAAATGGAAGCTGGTATCTTTTCTAGATCGTCTCTCGTCACCCGGTCGGTCCTATCGTCTACTTCCATTTCGTAATTTACGATTCAACGAAACTTCTCGAGCCGTTTGAAACTTCTGTTCTCGCGAATTGTCAGAAGGAATCCGGCAGAAGTGAAAAGTATCAGCGGTGGAATTCCATAAGCCGAGCAGGAAGTATAACTCGCCGGTATTATACGTAGCGAGCCGTATTAAAGGATAAAATTTATAGGTCGAGTTTCTGTCATAAACTTGGTAGATATCTCCGCAAGAACGAAACAACGAGCCCTCCACCTTGCTTCCACTTTTTTTTTAAAGCTCTTTGAGATTCTTTCTTTTCTATTAGTACCTTGTCGTGCTATTCTTCAACCCTTTCGTGTTTCTTTTTCTCTTCGATGTAAGTGGGGAAGCTTGTACGTAAGCTGGTTAAAGATTAGCATTTCGGTAGAAGATCATCCAGGGGAAAATCAGAGTAAGAAAAGAAAGGACAGAGTGGAGGGTACCAATTCGTTTGTAACAAAGGTTTGAACGAAGAACCCGACTGCTCGTTCGAGAGAAGAAGCTTAAATGGTTTTTACAGGGACGAACCAGGGTCTAAATGTGTCAAAACTTTTTAACGAGCTCGTTAAGCATCCACAAACGACGAAGAATTAATTATCGCCGAAAGGACGACGCTGTTCTTCCGGCCTACCTTTCTCTTCCTCCTTCTCAAACTTTACGCTACACTTTCGATCAGTGAACACTTTTAAACGATCCGGGAACGAAAACTTGTTATCCCTGTGGCGCGTTCGAATCGGATCGGAACTTTTCATTCCACAACTTCGTTTAAAAATTCTGTTTTTAATATTTTGCTTGCTCTTTAAAAGGAAGCTTAATTAACACGTAACCAACTGCTGCTATGCAATATTTTGCTTAACGCAGTCAGCGGAAATAAACTTGCTTAGATGAATTTTCCATCGGTCGATTCGAACACGCGGATGAAATTTTGTGCAGGCTTCGATTGATTAATTCGATTGATAGGTAATCAAGCCATTATCAAATCTACCGTACGACAATCTAATCAAGCTTCGGGTCGGGATTTACAGCACGTACGATTTCGAAATGCCAATAAACCAGGCCGCGTTTACGATTTCAACGTGTACTTTGCACCTGATTGCTTTCCTGTGCACTGTGTGAATTACCAACGAGCCCTGCCCTTTGTTACTTGTAAATTGGTGAATCGATGCACTCGATTCACAACCAGCCCGTTTACTTGCTCGATGTGCTTGCACCGCAACGACTTCCGTTTGCTCCGTGTCGAAAATTATCGCAACAACCCTTAACGCGTTGACCCTTCCATAATCGATCACGGAAATTCAACGTAAACGAATAGTTTCGATAGAATTTAAGAAACGTAATATTAAATGTAGTTTCGTCCTTTTAATTATTTTCTTCCTGAAAGAGAAGATGGGAAGGGGTTAGAATGATGAGAAAAAAAATAAACAGACAGGTTTAATTTAACAACGACCGTATTTCGATTTGTCGTCGATTTATTTCCGGTTTCATTAACGCTTGAAATGTTAGGATATACTCACGAGGCTGACGCTTCGTTGATCTCGACTACTTGCACACGAATGGTCGGTCAGTCGATCGATGCGAAACAAGTCTTATTTTTTTTTATTTTTTCTTTCTTTCTTTTTTTTAAATTTAAACATAAACGGTATGAGTTTCGAACGATTCTCTTAAAATTAACGACCAGATGCATCGATAGCACGAGGGAAGTTGATATTTCATTTCATTTTCTTGCTCCATGCAGTCGTTAAAATTTTCGACTATATTAAAAAGTTTCTTTTAGCGTAAAAACATGGTTAAGAAAAGGATATTATCGGTGCGTTTAGTAGAATACACGAGTCTTAAAGTGTTTAGAATGAATGAGACGCGTTTGAAAGAAAAGAATCATTCGTGAATGTGATTATACATCGACGCGCGTGTCGACGTCAACTTCGATCGTGCAAAATCGTAGGAAAGTTCTCGTTGACGAAGTCAACGTTTGCAGCTCCTTCGAGACTAACGTATCTAGAGCTTCCTCCGACACAAATCAGCCAGTGCGATCCTTTCAACGAGGATAGAAATCGTTTACTTTGAAACAAATGTCAAGTATAATAGAATAGAAGTTTCGTGTTCCCCAATGTTGAATTCTCGAATTTTATTTTTTATCATCAGAAAATTTGCAATTTTCTCTCTGTGCAAGTTCTTTTCCTCTCCAATTCTTAAAATTCAGATGTTCTCGTTAAAAATTTCGTCTGGCCGATCTGTTCCTTAGGAGGATCAATATGTTCTTCGACTTCAGGTACCATATGTACAAACATCTTGCTCTTTCTCTCATTCACGCGTTCTCACATACAACAGCACAACATATATACTCAGTCATACGCTCGAATCGTATCGGTGACAATAGGTCACGATCGGTATCAGTCGTTCGCGAGATCGATCGTTTATGTGTACATATTTATACATAATATAATTAGCATATTGACTAGAACGGTTTTGGTTCCAGCATCGACGAGGAAATCGTTCAGTGTAGATCGAATACGCTTTCGTTCCTCATACGTTCGTGCAAACGCGTTGGTCTTCGAATCGTAGAAAAAGCGCACACGATTCAATCGCTTTTCCTTTTTTTCTCTCATTGTTTTCGTGAAAACCTATCATTCACTGCGAAGGAAGTACTACCTCGTCAGACGACCTTTTCACCAGTTGACTCGTCATTGTCGCGCCTCGAGAATCTTCGAAGGAAATCGAGTTTGTCTATCTACTTACGTTCGTACACGAATGATGGCTGACGTGAAACGGAGAAAAGAATGAAAAGGAGAAGAGGCGAGATATCCGAGTCGCGTCCTTCGCAGATGCTAGAATTCACGAATCGAAGTGCTTTCGGAGAGAGTTCCGTTCGCCATGACCGTTTTCCTCCATCTGCCTTTTTCGTCTTCTTCTTCTTCTTCTTCTTCTTCTTCTTTTTCTTCGCTGTACTCGAACCCTCGGATATCCTTTGCTACGGCTACGGTGCCATCAGTCGTTTCACGTTGTAACGGCAGTAATCCCGACCTATTATGTCCTCGTGCGGAATTTCCTCTTCGAGTGGCTCTATACCCTGCTCTGCCATGTCGTCGCGAACCTAAGAATAGAACAAACTCCTTTTAACGTTCAATTTGTTAACGGAGAAAATCATTCGATTCGCGATAGAAATTCTTCACGGGTAAAGAAATGGAGAAGTAAGGTAATGGAAATATCGATATCGTGGATTTTAAGGAAAAAAGTCAATCAATTTTTACGGCGCTTCCGGTCTGCGAAAGTTGCAAGGAGGAGGGTGGTCGAACTCGTGTGGTGCACATGGCGTGGCGAACATCTTAAGGAAAAATCACGCTCGACGATAGTCGGTCGAGGAGAAAAAGGGGAATGTTCGCGAGGGGTTGTACGGCGAATGCCATGCCTGGCGAGGGGAAAAAAGTTCGCGGTTCGCGTATTTCATGCGACCCAGCACAACCACCATCAATTTTCGGTAAGCCCATTAACCTTCCACGGCCATTACGGTCCAGCCGAAGCTTTCGTTGCTGCTCTGTAAACGCGTAACCGATGTTCGCTACTTTTTTTTCTCTCTGCCTACATCTCCTATCCCATCTTTCCTTCCTTTTTTCCTAGCCTTCGTCGCGTGTTTTTGCTGTTTAATCGTTTAACGCTAACGACTCGTTCGGACCGTTCTCATAGATCCTGTGTTACCTTTTTTAGTAACGAGTAATGGTTAGCAATGGTTGTATCATTTTCAGGGATTATCTACGCTCTTTTGACCGATTAGATAATTATCAAATAAGTAGTAACTTGGAAAATTGGAAGTTGATATTCGTAACAATTCTTATCAGATTTTATCACCGCGGTAGCTGCAGTCATTTTCAGAATAACAGAATGATAGTATCGTGTTCACGGTGTCCTAAGTTAACAAAAAATGGGCTTCTGACGTATATTGGTGGTTCCTCGGTTCCTCTAATCAAATCCAATTTTATTGTTGCCCTCGCAGTTCGTGACTCGCGTAACATCGTGATAAAGCATCCCCCGACGACATTACAAACGTCTCGTTCCGTAATGCATGCTCCCTTTCTATTTTCATCCGTGTACGTTTTATCTTCAAATTGAATTTCTTTTTTCCCTCCGTTATGTTTCCCTCGCTGAACAACATTTACCACCGCGAAATACTCGCAGGAATCGTCGGGGAAATTAAAATGTTAATGGACGCCGGGATGATTTCTTAGCGAACAGAAGGGACCGTCTCGCCTTGGATATTGTCCATAAATTCGGAACGTTTTTAATCAAATGCACCATCATTTCCCTCTTTTTTTTTATCCTTGATGAGTCATAACGAGTCCTTTTATTTTCGAGTAGACTGAAATGCATCGTCGATCATTTACCTTGCAAACATCGCGGGCATCGTAAATGGCAAGCTGGATAGCACTTTTTAACGCGTTACCGCGTTTTATTCCTTTACGAGGAGATCACGTTTCTCGGTTGTGTAATTCGTATAACTACGCTTCATGCTAGCAATTTTAAAATAAAAGTAACGATTTTTAAAATATTTTTTACATGCTCTATGCAGAATATCGTGTAATTAATACAGTACATATATATAGAATGGTGGTATTTTTACGTAAAAAATACGGTTGAAAAATATAGAGTATTGTTTTTTCATATAGGGCTTCCCTTTTGGGTAAATTGATATTAAAACTTCAAGCCAGTATTTATTTATTTACAGTTGTTGACAATGATAGATGCGTAAAAAAAAGTTTAATTTTTAATAACTTTGCTAAACACTCTGGCTAAACGAGACTTGAGAGTCAAGAACTTGTGTACCGTACGGATGAATTCTTGGTATCTACATATATAGGGAAATATAGGGCAAACATTTTCTTCTATCAATCTTAGAATTTGTTGCATTATTCCTAGATATTCTATTTTGCTTCAACCTTGATCTCAGCAAAATCTTAGAGCAATTAGTGCAAGACAATGTTTCTCGTAAAGTAATTGCATCCAGGAAGGAGGTTGAATTTTCTAAGGGATCTTCTTCGCATGATGTTCATCGGTTCAACGAACCCACTACCCGTACGTCAATTACGTTTCTCATTAATTTTTATCGTAACCGTAAGAAGTATGATTAACGTAGTCTAAAATTTCATCCTCATCTCGGCAGAGCAGCCGGGTGAAATTCAATTTCTCTCTTAGAATTTCGTCGTCGGTTCACTCGGTACACGACCGAGTGGTGTATTGTTTTAACAATTACTACGTTTCTCGCTTTCGGTGAGGAGTACCGGTACTATGGAGAATTCTGGACCCGACTGGAGTAAGGGAATTAAAATCGTTCAGGTTTAGGAGGTGTGCACCAGGTAAGACGTACTCGAGCTTTCGTTTCGTTTTACGAGCTACGAATTAACGTCGTTCGAAGCCGAGAAGAAGCTAGGTAAAGGTAGGCAAGCGGGTTCTCCAACATACCAGCAATCGTTCTGCTGGAAACTGTGTTTCACCGTACACGAAATTTGCTTTTCTCGTTTAGCTTTAGCGCGAATTTCTCTGTTTCTCCAGCGACACGCTTAATTGGATCGATGGAAACGCTTGTCATTCTCTACCTGGTTATGAATCACCATTTGACTCGAGTTTAAAGCGAAAAATAGTAAATCGAAGTGAAATAATAAAATTTAGCCTGTTGTCTTTCAACTGTATTTAATAACATCCAAAGTGTCGAATCGTTGTTGGAATTTGAATGACAACCGCGTCGAGGGTTATCAGATAATGCGGCAGTATTTGTATACGTAATTTCTGTCATATTACGAGCTGAGCGCGTGATTCAACTAAACGTTACATGTGGCACAGTTTCGCGTAGGTGCTAGTGATGTGCGACCCGACTATTCGGGTCGGTTCGGAAAAAAAAGGGCGGGCTCGGGCAGGTCTCCGATACATACGTGATTCGGACGAGTTCCTAATTCTTATGTACTTGTTAATACTTGCAATAAGCATGTGCAAAATCTGTTTTATATGGAATTTTGGAATAAAATAATTTTTATGTAGAAAAATAATACTCGTAACGAATTTATTTGAAATGAATTACATTCCATGCCACCTGTACGTTCATTTTATACATGCTTATTGCAAGCATTAACAAGTACATGAGAGTTGGGTCGCGGACCGCGGCCCGCGGGAGCTCGTTCGAATCTGCCCGACTTTATCCGACCTGACCCAAAATAGTCGGGCTACCCGACTGCACGCATGTATCGGACACCCGCCTGAGCACGCCCGATTTTTTCCGAGTTCGCCCGAGCTAGTAATATCGGGCACCCGCACATCCCTAGTAGGTGCACGTACGCGTTTGCACGTGGTAGACTGGTACAAATCATGGAAGAGGGATGGCGGTTTGAGTAAGTGGAGGATCGAGCCAGCTGCTTCTGGGATTGGCAGTAGTCCAAGGGAACAAAAATCGTCGAGCCGTCTTGCTCGACGATACACCGGCAAACGCGTGATTTGTGTGCTTTATTAAATCCGATATTGGTCGGCTCGGCTAACCCGATTCCTGGTCATTGGATATTTCGCGCCACGGACGACCCGTTTCTCGTCGTATTGTATCGTAAGTTAGGTATGGAATAACGTAGAGTGTGCAAATATTTAGAAAATCAAGAATTTTTTAAATATTTTAACAGGATCGATAATGAGTTTTATCACATGGATTAAAAATAGAGAAATATTCACCTTCTCTACCGCCTTGAACACCCGAATTAGATTGAAACCAGCCAGTTTCCGAATATCTTTCTCCGACCATCCGCGCGCCAACAACTCCGCAAAAAGCTCCGGGTATTTGCTGACGTCCTCCAGACCTGTCGGTGTCCTGAAACAACCAGATCGTAAAACGGTTTCATTTAGAAATGCTTCGGGCGCCGTTAACGTCGAATTCGTCGATTAATCTCCCTCCTGTCCGCACGAACGACTGTCAAGTCTTTTTCCTTCTCTCTCTTTTTCTTTTTTTTTAATCACTCTTTATTTTTTACGCGCTCGATAAAGGGTTTCTTTCATTTCGAACATCGCTATTTACCTACATGAATATTTCCTCGTGATGAAATAGTATTTTAATGAAGCGACCGAGTGGCGGGAGTTTAAATTAGAAAACTGCTCGAAACTTTTTACAAGACTCCCATCGTATAGCTCACAACCTACTCCATATTACCCGTGTAATTTTCCTGCGCGTAATTCTTCGGAGGAAGTTTAATCTATTACGGGTTTTCCGCGTTTCTTCGTTGTTTAACGCGCACTAGGAGACCCCGGATGACCCCGTTAACGTGTAGAAAAATTCACTAGCGAAAGAATTTGCAACTTCAGTCTCAGCGGGAATTTCCCGACCCCTCATTTGCATCGCTCTTTCAATAAAGAATTCGCTTGATTTCTTTTTTTTCTTTCCTTTTATCATACGTTATACAATTTTGTAACAAGTTCGCATGGAATGAATTAAGTTGGATCAGTTTCAAGGAACGATGAAAGTTTCCTCGATGGCACGCGTTTAGACAATGAAATCGAGTTAGATTCGTTTGGAAGAATGAGAGAAGGAGAGAAATATCATTAGAACAAAGCTGTCCAATGCAAATTCGTGGCACGATAACGAGCTTGTTGGAAGAAGCGAAGCTGTCGCGAATAAATTACGATTCTCCTCGGGCGGTTTATTCCTCATTACTCTAATTACTATTAGAGCGAGTCGCTTGATGGCTCGAGCTGTGAGGTTCGTTCTTCACAAGCTCGACTGGTTTACGAACCGAACGTTTGCGAAAATGTGCCACGAGGTCGGACCTCTCGGCTGCGTTTTAACGACTCCGGTTAAGAGTGCAGATAAGCCGGTAGATAATGAAAATTGACGACTATACGTACGTATTTTCATTCCCGATTATTACAGCGCGATCGAGGTCAACCTTCGTCTCTGTCTCGAATTCATTCAAATCAATCGATCCCGTATTTCAATATATTTCTGGTTAAATCGCAAAATTTCTTTTCAGGTCGAACGCGTTTAAGTAGAACACGTTATTCATCGTTATTTTTACAATCCTGAATTTTTATTTGCCTCGATTCTTTCTTATTACTCGTCTTTATCCATTCAACGTCTCTTTGAAGTTGAGAAGTGTTTATTGTACCGCATACGACAATAAGAATTTTTAAGGATATTCAGGATTAAATTTATAGTTCAACGTTAATCATGTTCAGAGTTTTCTTTCATCCTTTACGTAGTCGATCATACGCGCTCAGAATTGTCTCTGTTGATTTATTCGAAAGGGATCATACAAATAAATTGATACTCGTTTGAAAAGCATGAATCTCTGCCAATTTCGACACGGTCGATGATACCGATGGGGGTATGAACGAGCGGATATTCGCGGCGAATTAGAGGCTGATCAGTCTGAATTTCGACGTTCTCATTACGCGCGTCATAACGAGCGCCAGAGAAGGGCCAGTGTCGACAACGAGCGTTGCAGAACCGTTGAAAGCTACCTGCTGACAATGTCGGCCCAACAAGAGCGGTTACAGACTTATTCATAGCGCGTCATATCGCGGCTGAAACTGGCAGTTATGCAGCTGTGTATTGTGTACAGACATCGACTGTCTGCGGTCACCAGCGCGTTGTTTCAATCTCGGAAATTTCCAAATCGAGTCTGCCCATCGTTAAAAGATAACGATGAATGATAGGCCTCACGCGATCCCGTTCGATTCGCCGTGTTTACCGAAGATTATCAAAACTTTCAACGTAACCATCGACTGGGGAGCGTTTTTTTTTCGTTCTCCAAGGAGCAAATAACAATTACGTACGTCAGCTAGGATAAAGGAGAGGTAGCGGGGAAACGAAGAAAAGAGGGATATAGAGCAGGATAAAATACTGGCCGTGGAAAATTGAGCCGAGACGAGATTTATCGGAGTCGTTTGAATGGCGCCTGGCCGAAGCTTGTCTCGTTCCTCGTTGCCCGAACGTGTATTCCGGTCCACGATATTTTCAATTCCCTGTGCTTTTCCATCGCAGTTCTACACCGAGTGGAAAAGCGTGCACGCGCCGGTAGTACGCGGCGTGTTCGCACGATTTTGTCGGCGATCTATACAGCCGATTCTACAGGAATCTGGTTACGAAAAAGAGGGAAACGAAACGCGACAAAGCGCTTCCATTCACGTGGACACCAGAACTGCATCAGGACCATCTTTTTCCAGCAGCCTTCCGTACACGCGATCAACGAGAAAACCAAAAATCCTATTCGAACGAGAAGATACATTTCGTCCCGCCGTTCTGACAGTGATTTATAGAGTTGGAATGAAAAGGAGAGGAAAAAAAGCCGGTGAAATGGAAGAAACGTTGAAAGGATCGATACTCCTGGAGTAGCAGTTACCGTGTAAGAAAATGAAAAGTAGGATGCGATCGTTTTCCCTCGTTCGTCCTCGGTATCGATGCTAATTGCGACGATTGCAAGATCATCGAACGGGATAATTGATGATTAGCCGTGGGAACGATACCATTTCCTCTCGACATTGATTTTCTTGAAAACAGAAACCTGCATCTCTATTTCGGTATGTTTTAAAATGTGATTGACGTCATTGAAAGATATCTCGTTTAATTTTAGTTTTTTACGATTTCCTCGAGTTAAAATCTCTTTTCCTGGATAATGTAACGTGTAGATAGAAATCTGTTATTTTTATTTTAAATTCATGTCAGTCTGAATTTGAGATAAAACCAGCAGATCAACGTAAGCGGTTCTTAACTTTGATACTTTCGATTGTTCTGCTCGTTTTATCGCGGGAAACCACGAATTGCTCGCAGCTACAGGTAATTACGCCATTAGATTAACGGTTACTTCGGGGTTCACCGCAACCCTGACCCTCTGCAACTTGCCGCTGGATGAATTTTAATCGTATCCAAGAGTTTGTAGCTCATAGTTTGGTAAAACGTTACCAACTCCTGAAATTCTTCGTCTGTTATACAATCTGCATTTATACATTCATTATCCCTTTTTCTTTTTATCATCGCGACGATGAAATTAAAATTCGCACGTGATTTATAATAATTTAAACAGGAAAGGTATCGACAGAGCGTACATTTTCGAAAGTAATTAACGATACGCCACGGTGAAAATTTTCGTTTCTCGACACGCCAAATTTATAATTATTTTGTAATGACATTATTACGAAATAATTAATGACGTTAACGGTGAATCCATACTTCAATATCTCGTAATACACGGGAAAGCGTAGAGAAGACCGTTTGAGATTACGTTAATGTGAATTTTAATATCCCTTAAAAGCCTGTTGGTTTACGTAATTAACATGAATATTGAGTTTTATCGATTCGCTGTTACTCTGCAATAATAAATTCGCGTTTCCCTCTTTTTTTTTTTTTCAAAATTCACATCAACATTGATTTATTGTTCAATTTAAAACCCCATTATTTTTACTTCATTCAAAAGTGAAACATGTACTTTTCAATGATCCATTTGTATTTCGAAAATAAATATCAACGTAGAATAAAATGATTTTCCGACAAGTTCGTTTTCTGTGTTCGAGGAAAATGAGATTTTCTTTCTTGCGGAAAGATAAGCACCAAGATCAGTTCGTTGAACTTCGAATCGTCGACTTTCAAGCTGAGTTTTCTCGCGATTAGTCGATCCTCGCTTATTTCAGTTTACTTAACCCTCTCGTATCGTTATCTCGCGCTCTGCTCGTTAAGGATACTCGATCAGAGCAGCGATTCTGCGAAGCGAACCATTCCCATCGGCATTTATCCTCGTTTCAATGATTCGTAAGTCGGGTCTCTTCGATGAAAATTGTTTCAATAATTACTTTGTTAAATTTGTACAACTTGTTATTAGCCGTTGGCCCAGTTTTCCATTTCAGTTAACCAACTGCCGTACCTCCAGAAAAATGTGTGTGCAGCGGACAAGTTATTTTAATTGATCGATCATCTCCTCTGTTCACGGTTAAACGATGTTTCGATACGGTGCGTTAACTTTTACACGGACTTCTAATATTCATGAATTTCGTCCAACCTTTTGCCGTCCATCTGTATGAAATTTTTCAATTTTCCAATCACTCGCGCCATACCCGATCGATCCTCCTGTAAATTAAATTCTCTGGAAACTGCACCCTCTATAAATTAAATTTCAGAAATTGAGATAAAGATTTTCATCAGAATCGAGGAACTTCTTTACAAATTGAATCGAAGAATGACCTGAGATACGATATTAAGATCATAGAAGATAATGAAATAACTTGATACGTTCGATTCGTCGATAAATCCACTAGAACGTTGCAAACGAAGGATATTCGAGCGGTGACATGGTAGATATTTCTTTTCTGCTCTTTACCCTGTTTTTTCTATCGCGCCACGTGCAATTTGCGTCTCTCCCGTTGCTACCTTGTTTTTCAACCCTTCCAGCTGCATTTCGCCACGCCCATGCGTGTTTTTCGCGCGGATTTCGAAAGCCTCGACAATTTTTTAGCAGCTGCTGTCCACACCCTTTTTTCCCCTTTTCCCTACGCTGCCTCTCTATGATTTTTTCTTCTTTTTTCGCGCGGTTTAATGGCCGGCGTTCTGATTTCAGCCTCGAGCGCGTATAACGCTTCGCAGTCTCGCAAACACGACCCACCGATAGTCCCGTGTTTCTCCCGTTCCTTTTGCACCCTTGTTTCTCTCCTACATTTAACATTCTAAGTTCGTTAAATAACGCGAAAATGTGAAAATAATTAAAAAAAAAATTGTAATTAGCGGTTGGTAAAGTAGATAAAAGTAAGGGAAATAATAATGGCGTTAATAGTTAAGCTCGCGATGCACCCAGTTCGAGTGCAAACGCACCCCGTACCGTACGTTCAAATACTCTTCTGTATCTGTATACTTCCTTCCAGAGAGCTTAATGCAAACAAAATGAGCCATCGCAATAATAGCACGCCATATTTCCAGTTGAAGCTGCTTTTAGCGCATCTCGCGTATGCGCTCGGTTATTTCAGTTAGTATTATCTTCGCTATAAATATGACTGAAGTAACCAGAAATGTCTTGTAACGAAACTCGATGAATTATCGTATTCTTCATTTTTTCCCCACTATCGAACTCTACTCGGAGGCGGCAAAGTGTGCTGACTTTTTAGAAAAGAATCCCGTGGAATTTATTCGTGAAATGGTCTTATAACTATTCCGATACAAAGGCGCGGAGAAAAGACGATATGCTGTTAAGAACAGGCCGGAAGAACTCTGATCGTTACGTTTTTATGGGGCACTGGTCAACGCTTCCAGTAAGCGTTAAAAAGCACACGTGCTTTATGGTCGTTGTACGGTGGTTCTCGTAAATCGCGGATGGTACAGAGGAAAACAAGAAACGCTGTCAAGAAAATTCTTCTTTTTCGTCACTGATTCACCATGCGTTCGTTAAAATTTCCTCATTTGTTACGCTCGCCCGTGACCTGGCAACCCTCTCGTGATTTATTACTAGAAGTCTCGTAAGGGTATTTTTACAAGCGTGAAATGAGCATCGTTGTCTACCTAGTATTATTATTTCAAAATTCTGTAACGTTCGATGGTGCTATCTTTAATCTAAATTAATGAATCGGAATTGCTTTGAAATGAATTACATCGGATAGATAAATTACTATCGAGATAGCGACAATTTAAATTTAATTTTCAATTTATTTTTACTCCGTTCGGTGTACACTACGTTAATCGAGTGGGTTGGGTACTTACATGTATATACTGTAAAGTTTATAAATTAAAAAAATATCGAGCTGAAAAAACTTACAGATTGATTCCGTCGTAGCCGGCGCCTATTCCAACGTGGTCGATTCCAGCAATTTTTCTTATATGATCGATGTGAGCTGTAATAGGAAATAAGTAAATCAAATTAATTTTATTAAAACGATTATGTTCAAAATGAATAGTGTCACTAGTGAAATATTATTACTGTTTAGAATACTTTCTCTATTCTTGTTTGGTGACCATTTCATTAAACGAAATGGTCAGTCAGCGTGTTAAGCGGTCGAAATTGTTGCGTTGCAGCGAGCGTGCGTCGAGCAGGGTGCAACGAGGAATCAATCATCACGGTAATATTGTCAATGGGCTAACACGAGCGAGCGCATAGCTGAAATTATTACCACGAGTCAGTTTAACGCGACGCTTCCTGTCCGTGAGCATAACTCTCTCAACGTTTCCTCCGCGATACGAGCGATTTAACGCGCACGGAAATGCATCGTTTTCTACCCCTCAGAATGGATAATTGTCGATCAAAAAAGATACAATCGACTTTCTCTATGCGTTCTCAAACGAACCGAGAGCTATCGATCGTAACGCATGGAACATTGTTCAAATTATTGGAACTTTAGTTTTGTTCCTTTTACTCTTCTCTCTACTGGCTCGCGAAACAACGTTAAACGTCAAACACGCTCTTTTGGAACGGACTTCGCCTTTGAGAAGAAGAATTTAAAAGAAGTTGTTGACTGTCACACGCGAACGATTCGATCTAGTTTCGAAAACGAGTTAGTCAAAGTTCCTATACTACGCGTATCTCTGTAAATTCGAACCTATTCACTCGATAGAATATCAACCGAACGGAAATGTATCAAATGAAAGAGTAAAAACTTTCGAACGGTGATAGACGATTCGATCAGAAATTTCTCTTTCAAAATTCCTGCCTCGGTATTTATTTCATTGATCCTTTTTTTTTTTTCGTCGACCTATAGAAAAATTTCCCGTTATTTTCGAATGGAACGAAAATATTCGAGTGAATTAAAAAATTTATTCTCTCGACGAGGAGGAACAAGATCAAACGATAGTACCGCGGATGAAATCCTGGCTCCTGAGGGAAAGCTTAGCGTTACCGCAGTGTTCCAACCCCCATTTTTTTACCCCACAGGGACCACGATATTTGCTTCCTGCTGGATGCATTTCGCTATTCCCAGCGCCACGACGCGACGCGACGCGCTCGTACCAAGTGCGAAGGTTAACACGGGACGCGTGAAACTAGTAATCCTCGTCCCGGTATTTCACTTTGTGGCATGAAAAAAAAAGTCACCAGTGCAAACAAACCAGAAACGAGACGAAATGCACTGAGAGAATTCGGAATCACGCGTGCGTTCTCAAAGTTTCATCGAGCATCGTTTCGTGTTACGAAGGGGCACTGCTAAATGGTTACTTGCTCTTCCGGCTGAGCTCACAGTTCGGTAAGGTAAAAGGAAAATAGAATGCGTGATGCTATGTAAAGAACCGAGTAGCGAGAGATTTCCTTTTTTTACACCATCCGTTAATCAAGGAAAGACTATGTTGCACGCGAACGTACGTCTTCGGTTTTGCAGCGGAAATGCGAGGAGTCGGTGGGAAAGTGTATTGCGGGAAAACGGAGACGAGAAAATGCCGAGTTCCGCGCCTGTTCGCGTTGAAATTCTAAAGTTACCCACGCTCGCGTCTCATGAATCACAAAGGGTTCGCGGATATGAAAGTGCAATTGCCCGTCGTCGACTTCCCTCTGCAACTTGCGTTCGATGAGGAATACTTTTTATTCTTCTTTCATCCTCGAAATCGTGCGGATGGAATGTCTGGTGGATTGCATAGATTTTCCTTTGTGTTTTATTTCCATGTAGAAAAGGGAATTTTACTCGGAACACCGACCTTGCACGGTTTCAACGCGAGTGATGTAAAGCAGACCTGTCTAACCTGCGGCCCGCGGGCCACTCGTGGCTCTTTCCCCTACCACGGAGCTCGCGATCGGCTCCCCCCACTCTTCCAATATTTGACGCGTATTCCTAATCCTAGCAGATATACAGGGTGATTCTCTCGCTACTTTACACAAAGGAAGTGCCGCCACGCCAGTATGAATTGACCCACGCCCTAGATAACTTAAATATTTTTCTTTCCATAATCGCCTTTATTCGCTTTTTCACTTTTTCCACGGATGAAAAGAAAATTGACATTTGTTCGAAGTTCTATTGAATAGCGTTCTTAACCCTTTCGGGGAAACGCGCTGGTATTTGTTCTCCGAATGGTAGGGTGTAAATCGGTAAGAGTCGCGGCTTAGCCGAGTAGGAACCATATTAACGGAAGGGAAAGAGAAGAAGGAACAATTTAGACGCGATTCCAGCATCCCCTTCAATTAGTCTTTATCCCAGAATATGAGACGAGAATTGTGCTAGGAGGACGAAGCTTTGTGGAACAACGAGCGAGGTAACGGTGATTTAGGCCGGAAGGGGAAGAATTAGCTGAGAAATTTTATCGACTCGAAGAAAATCGATTCCCTCGGGATAACGAGGCGATTTGTATCGAATAATATTTGAAATGTGTTCCAAAAAAATTCCTCTAACAACAATGTTTGAACAAACAATCGACACTTACCAGCCACATCTTCCAACGTCGATTTCTCACCGCAGCTGATAAAATGGGGGTAGAAGGAGACCATAACGATGCCATCGGTCTGCTTCTGAAAGCAGGAAAAGAGGAGAATAACTCGTTAGGTTGTCGACTGTTCAGAATCGCTGTAAAATCCTGGCTACGAACGGGGAATCGATGTTGTTACTTACCAAACGTCGTAGCGCATGGTCAGGCACGTTTCGCGAGGAATTGCAAAGGGCGTGGGCGCTGCTGTGGCTGAAAATAACGGGTGCCCTCGACGTCTTCATGGCGACCAGCATCGTGGGTACGGAAACGTGCGACAGGTCTACCATCATTCCTAGCCGATTCATTTCGAGAACGATGCTCTGGAAAAGTTTGCAAGGATAATTCGACCGAGTTTCGAGTATTACGAACACGGATTGTCTCTTCTGCAGAGATATTTCGGTGTGAACTACTTTCAAAGATTTCACGAACGGAGCATCTTAATCGGCCAAGCTATTTCCTCGGCTTACAGACTACTTTGGGAATCGAAAGTCTCGGATTAATACGGCTTAAAGAAGTCTCAACGACGCGACGTTATTCGAGAGAGAACAGCTGGAAGAATCAAAGAGTCTGAAGGGATAACTCGCGTCGATGCAATCAGCGAACGACGCTATGAATGTAATTTAATTTAAAATATTAAATTGTAAAAGTTTTCGAAAATTAGATGCGAAAGTTGAAACGCGCTGCTGTTGGATCGTTCTCGGTTACTTGGCAACACTTTCACGCGTAATCCGTGACGGTTATTACAAATGTTGCACTGATCAGATTGAAATTCACGACAGCCGGTTCCCTTAGACTTTAGACGCTTTGTTCGCGAGGAATTCCAATTGGCGAACGGAAAGACGAGAGATTCGTAGTTTGATGTTTGGCGAGTTAGGAGGAAATCGTGTTACTTTCGGTATTCCACACGCGTGTTACCCCCGTGCACTGTTTGTTCCGGCACTTTGACAACTTCAGAAATTACGTTTCAAATTTCTGTCTAATAACCGCGTTCGCGTTTTCGAGAGTTGAAGAAAAAAGAAAAGAGAAGGTTGCAGAGGAAGCGAGTTCCTGGAGGAAGCAGTATTTCATCGAGATAAGAGATTTCCAATAGGTTCGATCGAGAAAACTGCTGTCACGACCGGAAATATCGTTCTTGGTATCTGACGTCAAGCTTCCGAGATACTATTGCTAATACAGAATTCGATTTCATCGTTGACGCTTATCGTTTAAGATGGAACGAAACGGACATTCGCTTCCTTCATTCTCTAAGTTTCCTCATTATATTTCGTCAATTTTTTAAAAATTTTGATATTGGGTTTGACCGACGTAACGAATTTAAGGGGTTAGGCCATTCTAGAATTTTGAAAAAATCGAAATTTCTTTTTGCTTCAAAGGTACCTTAATATCTTAAATATGATATGGCAAAAGATTATGGGTGGAAAAAATCTCTATTTACTCAAATTTCGAAATTTCGAAATTCTTTTGTTATAAATAATTTTTTGGCGATTTTTTCTTGAAATTTTACATTTTCTCTTAAAAAATACGCCATGTTTGCAAAAATGCTACATAGTTCAGTAGCTGTTGTCATATACAATCGAAAATATTTTGGTTTCTTATTCTAAGTTAAAAATTGCAAGAGCTGCTGGTCCGGCTGTTTAGCCCTACAAAAAAGAGGCGTCATCGAAGAAATGCTGCAGAGCCCATATTTTCACTTGAATCACTATACAAAAATTAATTTTTAAAGTTTATTAGTTGCAAAATAAAGGCATGCTTACAGAATTTGGATATATTCCATCATTAAAAAAAAAAAAGTTCCCAAAGTATGCCTATTTTTTCTTATTCTAGAGTGGCTTAACCCCTCAATATAATCGAATGATTATCGGGAAAGGAAAGTTTAAATTGGAAAACGAAGGGATTGTATTTTGAATAATAACAATTGTATTCTGCTGTTCTACGTACATTTCGTAATTTTTAAAATAAATACAAAAATTCCAGATCCTATGCTGACAACATTGTGACACTTCCGTTTATTCACAAACACTCGATTCGATTCGCTGCTTCGTGCTTGCTTGCATGCTTCGATTTCTACAAATACGACTTCGAATATCTATCATAGTCAAACACGTGTGTTTGACTGTTTCCGCACAATCGACGCGTTACTGCAAAATAGTCGTATTTCGGCTCTTATTTATCGGATAACAAGAGAAACGACAGGAAGATAGAATAAAACCAATGTTTCTACAACGAAACGTATTCCTGACAGATATCCAGTCATTTTTCTGGAAAACGACGCCTCCGTATGAACAAAATTTTATTCTACATTTTTCGATTTAAATTTACATATAGATTCAACGCCTTTTCGATTGTACCGCCGTTTCGAGGACGCTCTGTACAGAACACAGGATGACACTCCATAGAGTTGATATTCAGAAATGCGACAGCTTCATAAAAGTCGCCGAATCTTCCATTATACCTAACAATTTATCATCTCGTACCATTACACTCGTTCTCGTGTAATTGTTCGCATTGTTTCGACGTTACACGAAATTTCTTCCCACGAAATGAACCGAGGTGTATCGTCTTCTTTAATTCTTCATCTGGAAGCGACGACGGTTGTCGCGAGAATACGTAAAAAGAGGATGTTTAGGGGATGAAAAATGATGGCGAAGCGTTTCTTCGAGGAGGAAAGTTAGGCGAAGGTCGGCGATTTCGCTTTTCATGATACGCTGGCTGGGCGATTCATTTCTTTCGGGGGCACAAGTCAGACGGCAGATATATTTTTTTTTTTCTGGACATTGAAAGAATCCACCCTCGTGAATCTCCGGGTTAAGGTGGCGTAACACCGTGTAGTCCGACAGGATGACGAATAGGGCTTCATTCTTCCGCGGATCCTTTCGAAAGGTACTCACCGTTTCTATCACAGCCACGTATCTTTTTTTTTTATGTTGATTGCTTTGTGCAAGCCTGTCTAACTGCTAGAAGCGAAAGAGCCACTGTTCTCATTCTTACCGCTTTAGACTTCCCCCATCATCTAGTAGTATGGGGTAGTGGTTTCTCACAGCATGAGTTAAGGCTGGGTCAGACACGGCTAGTAATTTAGTCGAGTGGCGAGTATGTAGCTAGCTACTAACTACTAAACCGTTTGGCGCAGAGAAAAGTGTCTGGACTAGTACAGTTGAGCTTTGGAAATCGAGAGTACAAGATACATATATCGCTTGACTAAAGAAATGCGTCCGGACAGGTCTGTTTGGAAGCCTAGTTAGTGGTGGGGGAAGCTCAATTAGTGGGGGAAGCCTAGTTAGTGGTGGGGGAAGCTCAGTTAGTGGTGGGGGAAGCCTAGTTAGTGGTGAGGGAATCCTAGTTAGTGGTGGGGGATGCCTACTCGACCAGAAAAATCCAATGAAACGGATCCACTCGACTAAATCGTTTTATTAAACTACTCGACTAAACTGTAGTGTCCATACATAGCAAGTTACTAAATCACTCGTCACTCGACTAAATTACTAGCCGTGTCTGAACCAGCCTTTAGATGCTAGAATTTCGATGGGCAAAAGGGAACCAGAGTTCCCAGAGTACGCCACCCTCGCAGATGAACAAGAGGCGCGAAATGCACCCTTAAATCTGCTAACAGAGGGGAACTATGAAGTAGAAGAAGAGTCGTGAAACCAACTGGAAGAGCGGGGGGAGCCGAGCGCGAGCTCCGTGGTAGGGGAAAGAGCCACGAGAGGCCCGCGGGCCGCAGGTTAGACAGGTTTGGCTTAGCGTCTAATATCCATCGACGGTTAATGGCAATGTCCTTAAATCGCTTATGCTCAACAACAGCTGGTCAAGCGAGCCATGAAACAGAAGCTGCAGTAAAAGTTGCAACTTTTATCACTTTTATTCGACAGTTCGGTATAAAATTGCGAATATCCGTAGTCTTGATCGAGGGGAAGTTCTTCGAGACACCGAGCGGGGTACGGTTATCCTGTTCTTTCCGGACGGTCAAACTCCTTCTCTTGATACTTCTGTTTGTTACCCGGCAGCCGCTGTTATCGTTGTCCAGCAACTTCAGTCGCGAAACTGTCGATGCTTGGCCGCCTATTTAGACGAAACTTTGGGAAACAAGCTGGCAGCTGTCCTGAAAAGGGCGGTTGGTCATTCCAAAACTTATCGGTCAGATGTTGGAAACTTGACGGTGTTCGTTGTTTCACGGTGGATAGGTCTATTTTGAAATCATTGACAACTATGAAGAGGGGACGATGAATGTTCGTAATCAGGGATTTCACTGTTTTATTTGCATTAACAAATTTTCGATTATTTGCCGGAGTGGAATGGGATAAGAAAAGGGGGCAGATGTTAATAAAGGAGGGGTATTTGAAAGTTTAGCCACGCTGATGAGATGGTCTATAGATTCTGGGAATTAAGATCAGGGCCGAGGGGGAATGATAATGCAGTTCCTAAAGACTCTTCAGGTGGTAAAGTAATGGCGAACGCTTTACGCCAGAAACTTCATGAGATTAGACAGAAAGGAGGGGGGGAAGGGGACCAGGAGAGTAATATTAATAATAAGACAAGAAATTCTTAATGTACATTTCTGACTTGTACGTTTCTGAACGAGTACCGGCTCGTTTGTAATTAATGTTTCGAACGATCCAAGAGAATGTTTTCGTTCTTGGAAAAAAAAATATCCGTCCATTCTTTAAGCGTACACTTCCCTGTTCCTAGCTACGATATTACCCTATTGTCCCGCGAAAGTTTCCGTACTGGAGCACGATAAATCATGTTGCTCCTGTTCTCTTTCTTCTGTTCCATTTACCGGTACGCTGCCGTTCGATTCAGTCGAACTTCCACCAAGTAATTAATCATTGAAATAAGCGATCGATCAGCCTGCAAATATCCAAAGCACGACCGTGTTCGTCTTAGTAAGTAGATGTACCATTTAATTTGCAAACTTGTCGTTTGTCATAGAAACTTTACTCGCTTATGCTAATAACAATTTTCAAATTGTAAGCACCGAAGGAAGAGTTTCTTCTGGGTCACGATACACACATTTGGCAGGCTGGATTAAAGGGAATACCATTTTCTGCCCTCCTGTCCGCAGCTCTCAGTCACGGCCCTTGAGCCGAAAATACCAGACCATATTTCTGCTTTATTAAATAAAAAAGCACCGTGCTCTGCGAGGGAACAATTTCTTTCTGTCGAATGGTCAGGCTTGTAACTTCTCAGACTTTTTCTTCATTTTCTGCTCTTTATATAGAAGCTACACGCGACCAATCAAGAAATACGTCTTAGTCCGAGCTTTTTATGATGTTATACGCTTAGTTGTTTCACAGCATTGCAACAAACGAGATATATTCGC